CTCTCTCTCTCTCTCTCTCTCTCTTTCTGTCTCCCTTTCTCTCTCTCTCTTTCTGTCTCCCTTTCTCTCTCCCCATATCTCTCTTTTATTTTATCACATGGAAACATTTTTAGGTGTTTTTTGTTACGAGGGGGGTGGGGGTTATAGATAACAGTAGCACTTCTCATTGTTAGGCCTAGGAACACACAAATTTGTTGTGCTGTTGTCGGATTCATTTACGTCGTATCACTGACTTGTGCAAAATGATATTCATGTAACTGTGTTCACGGTAGTGTAAACGAAACCATACTGCTTCCTATGTAGGCCTACGTGTGTGCAATGTGTGTGCATTCATGTATGTAAGCTTAATATATATTTATATTTATGAAGCAGTGCGCACATGCGCTTCTCTTGTTGCGAGTGAAGAACGGGTACACTGTCATAATGCGTATTCACTTATTCATTTCCCTGTTTCTCCTTTTGATTTGAAGTAAGGTTACAACCCTCCCCCCCATCCCCCCGCCATTCTTTTTAACCGTTTGTACTGTGAAATAGCTACGCCATCAATCTGTAAATAAGATTATAACGAACGAAGAACGAAACGTAGAGTTCAGTTCACTCTCCTGGGAAAAGAAAACGCCCAGGGCTCTTACAAAATATTTAGTCAACCAGAGTTACCCCCCTGAGCTCTGTGGGCCTTACAATAGAAAGCGCTAAACGTAAACAAACAAAAAGCAGGTTGAGAATGACATCTCTGACAGTGGGCAGGCTACACAATTATGCTGAGGCACGACCCTGGATGCTGACGAAAATATGAAGTAAGGGAAGAAGGCGCTCATTCTTTAGAAGCTGATCTTTCAAATTCTGTTTCAATAGTTTTCAAATTACAATCGAGATGAATAGTTTACTGTCGTCTCTTTGGACCTCGAGGTGGGAAATTTTAGTAAAAATTGAGTAAAAATGAGTAAATACTTCCTCTTAAATCTGGCTACTTGTCACGAGTTTTCCACTTTTCACTTAGATCTACACTCTAAATGTGTCAGTCTTGTTACTTGGAGTGGTTGCAACATTTCCATCAGTGTCTCTGCCATTTACTCACATAGATCTAGTTGACATAGCCTAATGTAGGCTATGACATGATCATATGATCATCATCAACAAGGCCATTTTATCATTTTATTAAATCTATATTATTTTTTTAGATTATAAACTTACAATGACGTCAATGAGAGTGATGATAGGCAAGATACCCCCTCCCCCCAACCAAATGATGCTTTAAACGCTATCATGAGGCATGGGAAACTAGATTTAGAATTAGAGTACACCACTACAGCAGGGTCTGTGTCTTTTTGTGGTAAATTTTTACATGATATAGATTCTATAGAATATGTATATATATATATGCACCCTCACACAGATGCATTGATTTGAGGGCTAAACTGTCTTAATTTTTGCTGTAGAACACAAGCACATGGCCACTAAAACCTTTGCAAATCAATTGTTTTCAATATCCTATTGCCCAAACATCAAATCATTGTGAAATGCAGGGGAATGCCCCCCTGAACCCCCCCACAGATTACCATTCTTTTTAGGTCACATGCCCCCCTGAAACCCCCCATGTTGTTAAAATCAAATCAAATATTACTATTTTCAAACATCAATAACTCAATAACTACTGGTTTGCAGCAAAAATGAAGGCCCGTGTTCAGCATGCAAAATACTACTAGATCTAGAAAAAAGGCCGGCACTATTTCTCCGAACGTTCAGGAAAATGAACTTGAACTCTATTTCTCCGAACGGTTTCCATTCTCGAGATTTTTTGGCTACTTGCGAATGGAGTGGCCCGTGTGTGTTTGTGAGTGTGTGTGTGTGTGTGTGTGTGTGTGTGTGTATGTAAGGTGTGAACGGGGGGGGGGGGGGGGGGATTTTTTTGTGATTTAGTTTTTTCTTTAGGGGTGACTAAATGCCAAATAGGTTACCTCCAAAGTCGAGCTGTCTCGTTTTCTCGCAGTACCTTTTGAAGGCATTTTCAAATGAAGTATAGTCCGTGAACATTGCCCCAACCACAATGGAAGTAGGCCTATCTGATTATCTGAATATTCGGGGGGGGGTTTTACACATGCACCTGTATTAATATTATGTACACGTTTTATATACTTTTTTCTAGTAGTATTTTGCATGTTGAACATGAATATGACCTTCATTTTCCCCGAAAATCAATAGTTATTGAGTTATTGATATTTGAAAATGGAAGTGTCTCCCGAGACCAGGATCCTGGTCTCCCTAGCCAGCCTGGCTAGGGAGACCAGGGAAATTTTCTGCGTGTGCGCATGCTCAAACCCCGAGTCCAACTTCCTTTCCTTTCAATTTTCGACTTCAAGATGGCGGCCCCCATCTCCGTAGGGCAGTATTTCGACTCATTTGATGATTTTATGGCCGTCTTGACGTCGAGGAAAGCCGAAAGCAACGAGCATCTAGTGGTAGGGAAGTCCAGTTTGACAGTGAGGGCTGCAAATTCAAAACTGAAAGGCAACTTTCGTTACAAAGAGGATTTGAAGTACACCCACGTCACCTTCAGGTGTGTCCACGAAGGCAAGTTCTCTTTAGAGACAATAGACCACACCAGACCACGATCATAACAATAGACCACACCAGACCACGATCCTGGTCTCTTTAGAGACAATAGGCCACACCAGACCACGATCCTGGTCTCTTTAGAGACAATAGACCACACCAGACCACGATCATAACAATAGACCACACCAGACCACGATCATAACAATAGACCAGACCAGACCACGATCCTAGTCTCTTTAGAGACAATAGGCCACACCAGACCACGATCATAACAATAGGCCAAACCAGACCACGATCATAACAATAGGCCACACCAGACCACGATCATAACAATAGGCCACACCAGACCACGATCATAACAATAGGCCACACCAGACCACGATCCTGGTCTCTTTAGAGACAATAGGCCACACCAGACCACGATCCTGGTCTCTTTAGAGACAATAGACCACACCAGACCACGATCATAACAATAGACCACACCAGACCACGATCATAACAATAGACCACACCAGACCACGATCATAACAATAGACCAGACCAGACCACGATCCTAGTCTCTTTAGAGACAATAGGCCACACCAGACCACGATCATAACAATAGGCCAAACCAGACCACGATCATAACAATAGGCCACACCAGACCACGATCATAACAATAGGCCACACCAGACCACGATCCTGGTCTCTTTAGAGACAATAGGCCACACCAGACCACGATCCTGGTCTCTTTAGAGACAATAGACCACACCAGACCAGGATCCTGGTCTCTCTAGACTCACAGGCTAGACAGACCAGGATCCTGGTCTCTCTAGACTCACAGGCTAGACAGACCAGGATCCTGGTCTCTCTAGCCTCTTCCTTTGAAAATAGTATTTGACTTGATTTACAACATAGGGGGTTTCAGGGGGCATGCCCCCGTCCTCCTGCATTTCACAACGATTTGATGTTTTGGCTAATAGGATAGATTTACTTCAAAAAAATTGATTTGCAAGGGTTTCAACAAAAATTATGGCAGTTTAGCACTCAAATCAATGCATCTGTGTGTGGGTGCATGAATAAAAATTTACGGAATATTCAGACATCTAAAAATCTCTTGCTCTAGAAATTGAATTCGATGCAATAAAATGCTTTTTCCCAGTCCTTGCAGAATGACTAAATGAAAGATGGCGCCGAATTCTGGCAAATAACCCAGAAAATCTGGAGAACGGAAACCGTTCGAAGAAATAGAGTCCAAGTTTATTTTCCCGAACGTTCGAAAAAATAGTCACTTCGTAGAAAAAAAGTATATAAAACGTGTACATGAGATGGGTGCATGAGTAAAAACAAACCTTTCTTTCTTTTATAGAATAAATTCAATTAAAAATGCAATGTCCTGAGTTATTATATAATACCTAGTAAACTAAGTTACACTACACTGTTATTGTGTATCCATTATTCACAAAAGGGCCAACCCTGACATTTTCTGATAAAAAAAACCTGGTTTCTGATCAGTTGTAAAGTCTGCACCCGAATGGGTTCTTAATGTCTTGTTACAACTCTCTCTCAAAAGTTTTATTGCTTCTTTCACTCTATTTTAGCATATTGGGAAAAGAATTATAAGGAAAAAATTCATGGAGGTCCTGTATACACATGAAAGATCCCCTAGTGGTTGAAAATCTTAGACGAATAGGCTATTAAGCCACCACCCATGCAAAATTCAAAGTTAAATAAAGTACCTTGTGGAACGTGTGATCAAGGATGTCAAGATCTGACAGGAGGGAAGAGAAGCACTTGCAATCTACTTCCTTTACGTCCACATATAGGCAAAGCTCAATCTGCTTTGAGATCGTTTGTCAAGAAGAAAAAGGTCATGTTGTTAGCGATCCAGTAGCATTTGAGTATTTTAACTCTTCTGCATGATGCTATTCTGTAATAGCTGCATGTCTGTTCTAATTGTTGTCTTGAGGAGTAGAGGCAGTTAGATGTTTGGGGTAGTTTGGGAAGAAAACATCCCCTCTAATGGTCATAAAAAAGCAGACAATTTTAATTGTTTTTTTCTGATGCCAAATAAGTTATCACCATATTATTCTGTTTGTTGAAAGGAATTCAAATCTTACTTTAACTTATAGTGTGTACAAATTTCAATTTTCATTCGGAGCACAGGAACTTTAAGGGGTGCCCAGGTCTGTTCTGTAAAACAAAATAACTTTGAATTCGAATTCTTTTTTTGAGCTGTGGAAGGATCCATCAGCTCATTTACCTTCTGGTGTTGTCTCTCCACTTTTTTGTCCTGCTCATGCCAAACATAGTTACAATGTGTTTAAAATAAATCTGACCCGATGACTTTAGATTCTTCGAGGTTGTATTATGTAATGTTATTATTTGAATTTTCATTCTAATCTCTTATCAGATACAAGACTCAACCTCCCGAAATCTCAGAGGTGGTAGCCGGAGATCAGTCAGCGAAGAGAAAGTTCAAATATGAGGGACGACACAAGACTCAACCGATCACACCCACAGAGATGAAAGAGGCAGAGGCCACTACTACACCATCCACCAATCTCACACGCACTCCAGGGGGCTCCATAGCTGACCGGTATGCTCAACTGGTCTCCACATTTCTTGTTTTGTTTTAGTAAGGTATTACGGCGCTCGCAACTGCATGAGGTCATATGAGCGCCAAGGGGTGGATGTCAACAGAGAAGTCCAAACGGGGAATCAGTCTATAATTAATGAATTAATTCAATAATCTGAATCTGCTGATGTGTTGGTTTAGGATTTGTTGAGACTGATAGAATTTTCAGTTTTTCTGACTTTGAATTGGACTGTCTTTTTGACTTCCTCCTTAAATTAGACATAGATATATATTAAGGATTATAAATTTGTATGTATTTCCTTTATTTGAAAAGAGTTAAATTCTTTTGCCCAAGTGACAGATCTGTTTCCTCTTGGATTTGAATCTACCGCTCTGTGGTTAAGAAAAGTATAGAACCTTTACTTGTACAGATAAGTTCGTAAGCCAACTGCAAGTACAGTAGAACCTTCTAACAACCACCTGTCGAAGACAATCACAGGTACAAATGAACACTTCCCACTTTGCCTCTTCCATTTTTTTTCTGTATTATAATGATGCTGTCTTATTCACCTTCATAAGATGAACGCTTTTCTCCATGACAGTGGGTGGTCATCTTGGGCAGGTCCAATTGTAGTATTTATCTAATAACACTTATGTAGGAATCAAAGTCCTGTATATTATCAAGTTGCTAAGATTTTTCAAGTAGTATCTATTAAGATCTGTGAAAAGTTATAACTAATACCTCAGTACGTTATAATTTTAAAAATAATTTCTCAGCCTCAATCAGCTGAAAACAAGTGGTGAAGAGGAGTGGAGAAAGCGAGTTCGCAAAGATGACCCGGCACCGATGCCTGATGCTGTTGTCAAGCTCAGAGAAAAGCCCGGATCTGCAGCCAATCGTCCGTCCAGCATCGCAGATCGCCTCAGTGAGCTGGAGGTATCCAAGATGACGTGGAAGGACCGGGTGGAGGAGACCGATGTGAAGCAGTTTACAGTGGCTGGCAAACTCTCAAGTATGTGCTGTGTGCCCGCTGTAGATCCTCTGTTGTCTCATCAACTTTTTAGAAAAATCTCACTCTAAAATTCAGTTCATATGATACCAAATATGAACGAATTAAAAGAAAAAGGGTTTCTGAAGAAGAATGTTTTATTTTGACCATCTCCGGGTCCTGCTAGGAATCTTGAAGACACTTTTCTGAGAGGTAAGCCTCAAGAGCTCTACTTTTTCTGGAATTGTGCTATTTTATTAAAAGAATGTTGCTATACAGTTTAAATGATGTGCGCAGAAGTTCTTGAAGTGTGTGATTCATAATTTAGTTCTTCATGTCTTCGTTTAACTACCTTGTATTTGCAGCTTAATGGTGTTCACTGATGCGCTAGTGTCTGTTGTTGCCTTTTGGCACTGTATCTTATTAATATAGCGGTTGGTTGGTGGGCGCTGTGGTGTGGTATGCTCTTTCTGCTTCATTCTGGTGTTTCTATTAGCCTGGTGGTACATGACCATTATCGTACCGACTCTCTATAAATTGTAGCTTTGTAGCTTGAGTTGGAACAACTTGATTTTAGAATGGGTTTTTTTTTACATCTAGAGGAATGTTTTCAGCTCGGTTTGAATGAAGCCTGTTCTGTCTGATGTGCTGTCAGTAGAGTCTTTCAGAGTGAGGTTAAGAGCTCACAGTGTGAATAGATGAGTACAAGACAACTTTGAGAAGGCTTGAAGCATGCTGCCTTACAAAGTAGTGGTGCAAAATAGTAGTGCAGTTTTATGTAGTGGTGTTTTGGAAATACTTTATACAGCGACAAAACACAGCTGATAAAAACCTGTAAATTTTTTGTCACGTCGAAAGGCTGAAGGACTAGAACCCAGATGGCCGCTGGAAAAGTAAAGTATGTAGTGGTGTACATTGGTATAGTTATTTTTTGGGGAAGGTTTTCCGTGTTTTGTTTTTCGAGACTAACTACTCTAGGGGATTTTGAGGATGAAGAAAAGTGAACGTGGTTTGAGTATCAGTTTGTTGTTTGTGGGTTTTTTTTATTATTGTCTAGCTTTTATACGTTTTATTTACATTTGAGTGTTTATAACATGAGGTGATGTGAAAATTGGTAAAAGGTGTTTTATTTAAAATGTTTTAGCACTCTTTTCTCTTTCTCAAAGGAATGGTCAGCATTTTTTTAACTGAAATTTTTCATACTCTGATTTAGATAGCTGTCGCTAGAGTTTTGTAGAAAGATGTGGGACTTGAGTGCATGCACATAGTTACTGTTTGCTTGAGGTGTCATTGTGCATGTTATCTGGCCATTTGCAGACAATGCAACAGAGAGTCCTCTGGTCAACAAGCTCAGAAGTCGACCGAAAAAAGAAGGTAAAAATCAAATTCCCAGTCTAATTACAATGAATCGTTTACTTTTATTTTTTTATTTTGCAGCCATTGTTGTTGTTATTTTTTATCTCTCAAATGCATTAGGACAGTTATAAAGAAATTTGAACTGCTTTACGTATCTGTATATCCATCTCTGTCTCTATATATATACAGGTGAATCTACTCTAACCTCTACCTGTCTAATTCCCGGTGCCCTTTGCGGATGGGATCAGGTCGGGTCGGGGGGCGATCGCCAGACTCGTCGCCTGAAAACAAAAGCATTTGTTTTTGAAGGAAAACAAAAGCATTTGTTTTTGAAGGGAGAAAGTAGTGCGTGATCGGCTTGTGCCACGATAGCCGCTTTGCGCCCTCAATCTGGCTAGCAAACAGATCAAACCCAATCCCCCAATGGGCACCCCGTATCAGACAATCACCTGTACAAATGACCTCTTTCCACTCCCCCCCATTACATTTTTTTTTAGGTATAATTATGACTCTGTCCTAGAGGACAACCTGTTTAAGATAACCACTTCTTATCAACATTGAGGGGCTGTTTTGGACAGTTTCAACTATGTATAATTTCAGAAGAATGGTGTTCTTAGATTGCCAAAGGGCCATTCTATACCAGCTTTTGCCTGATCATTTGTGGAGGGATCGTATTTAGAAATAGAATGATCACAGAAATTGGGAAATATGACAGTTGAAAATCATTTCTTCGAAAAAAAAATAGAATTCTGAAATTCTTTTCATCTCTTATATTTCTCCCAAATGTGAACTATTTTTTGTCCGTGAACAATGGTTCTGTGGAAAAAAAAATAATCATGCCACCATTCCTAAGATTTAAAAAAAAGCTGTAAACCCCAATTTTTTTAACTTCTTTAATATCGATATTTTGTGTTTGGAAGGGGGTTAGGCTATTGTGTCTCCGACTGCTAAGATTATTTTAGGAGCTCCATCATTGTAGATGTATAAAGTTTGCGATGTATGTAATGAAAGTCTGTGGTATCCCTGTATGCAGCATGTTGTCCTGGTGTGCTGTAATTTTTGTCGCCCTCTGGTTGGTTTGAACTTTGTTATGTACTTTTAGAACACTTGCCTGATGCTTTACTCTTGCAGGGCCGGAAATTTTCATTTGCTCCGTCATTTTCCATAAAAGGGACCTGACGTCCCTTCATATATGCAGCTGAATCTGCTAATACAGAGACGAGATTCTCCACTGGCACTCTGTCAACACAAAGTTGAATCATCCATAAGGGCAGAGAGGAGGGCCTTAATGGTGTACATTTTTTCAAAATATTAAGTGTATTTTTCCAAATCTATATTTAGCCTGCGAAAAGTTAAGTAAATTTCGAACTGATCAGTTTCGATCCCTGCTTTTGGGATTGTGATCAAATGGATATTATTTTGTGAAGGATGTGTTTCCACAACATTATATCTATGCCTAGGCAAATTTTATTGTTCTCTAGTCTTAGTTGATATTATGAATTGAAATGGGGAAAATTTGTAATGTCATATTAGGAGGAACTTAATGATGAACTGCAGCTATACTGTCGCTTATTATGTTCTTTTGAAGTGAGTGAGGAAAGTATTTTTTGACCTGAAACCAATTCTACAGGTTGGGGGTTTGAGGTTTCTAAAGTTGATGGTGGGTGGTTGGCGGGTGCTTTGGTGTGGTTTGCTTCTTCTTTCCTATCAAACGTCTATCGTCTTTATCTCCCCTCCTTCTTTTTTGTGTTTGTTACTTGTAACGCCTCTAATTTTCGACACTTATGTGACCTTATTGTGTTGCAATTGCCGCAAAACACTTACTAAAACAAAAGTTGAGGTTTGAGGAGCGCTGGGGTGTCATGCATGTTGGGATGCTTGCGGTTATTGAGCAATGACATTATTGAAAATATTCTCTAAACACACACATACACACACACACACACACACACACACACACACATTCACACACACACACACACATTCACACGCGCGCACACACACACCCAGAGACACACACACACACACACACACACACACACCAGCCCCAGTTGAAAAGGAAAACAGATGAAAAACACCTTTTATGTTTTTCTCTTTTTCTCATATTCCAAGTCACTGTATTGCTAAAAGTCATGTTATCAAATTTTCATTTACTGGATGGGTGTGATTTCATTTCTCCTTTTGATGACTGCCTGTAAATCTCCTGGCTGCGCTCTCTTTCTCTCTCTCTCTCTCTCTCTCTCTCTCTCTCTCTGCCTGTAAATCTCCTGGCTGCTCTCTCTCTCTCTCTCTCTCTCTCTCTCTCTCTCTCTCTCTCTCTCACTCTCACTCTCTCAATCCCTTCCCCTCTCCTTCTTTCGCATTTTCTCTATCTCTTTTTCTCTCTTCCTCTTTCTATGTCAATCTATTTGTCTGTCTGTCTGTCTGTTTCCTCCCCCCCTCCCAATCCATCTGTCTCTCTCTTCTCTCCTGCCTCCCTCCCTCTACACTTACAACAAATTCCCTAACCATGAGTTTTCCCAAACTTTTATTTCACCTGCATGTTGAATGATTTTATCATCACAGTGTTCTCCCTACCCCCCGCCCCCTTTCTTTTGTCATTTTCCTCTGCGCCCCAGGTGACCCCAGTTCCAAGGAGACTACCCCTGTAACGTCCCCCGTGACCCCTACTAAAGAGTTTATTTCGAAGATCCCCATCCCGACTGAGATCATCTCAGGTAGGCATCTCTCTCAGACCGGCTCTGTGTCAGTCTCGTTCTCTTATCATTAGCAGTGGAGGTCATTGAGTAGTGAAGATAGTAGGACCCTTTTAAGCACAAGGGGGCTATCCCAAAAAATGCTGTTTTGAGAAATGGAAGGTAAAATTTTTGGACCCTTGTGTAGTTTCTTTAAAAGACAAGGAGAGTTTTCTCTATAAAAAACAAATATATACACCAATGAAACCAAACTTCTCCTATAGGTAGGGCAATGCCCACTTTTGGTGTAGGTCAAGATTTCTGGAAACCCCCGAAATCTGGGTTAGCCGCGCTTCAAAGTGACCCCAACTAAAGAGTTTATTTTGAAGATCCCCATCCCGACAGGGATCATCTCAGGTAGGTAGGCATCTCAGACCTCAGACCAGCTGTGGGTGGTCTGGTGTGGTTTGCTTTTTCTTTCCTGTCAAACATCTATCTCTTTATCTCCCCTCCTTTTTTTGTGTTTGTTACTCTTTTGTAACACCTCTTATCTGCGGCACTTACATGTCCTTATTGTCTTGCAAGTGCCGAAAACCTCTAATTAAAACAAAAATCTGACCAGCTAGCTCTGTGTCAGTCTCTCTCGCTTATCGTGAACAGTGGAGATCATTGAGCTGTGGAGATCATTGAATAGTGGAGATCATTGAGCTGTGGAGATCATTGAGTAGTGGAGATCATTGAGTAGTGGAGATCATTGAGCTGTGGAGATCATTGAGTAGTGGAGATCATTGAGTAGTGAGGTCAATGAGTTTTTTCTGCTGAATTTTGTTCCTTTTCTGCAACAGTGTGACTGACCAGTGTGGGCTAAGAACAAAACGAGACAGAACGAAAATTCCCTACAATATGTGTTGCCTGTATTGTCCTGTCTTCTAAAATTGTGGTTATTTGAATACACATTTTGTCATGTCAATGACCCTGTTTTTTTAGTCCTTTTAAAGCATTTCTCTAATGGTGCAGCCTCTTTAGTGGAAGGCTCACACAGTTTCACAATAAGTATCTAGATCATTCAAACTGGCCATCTCAGCCCTGTGGGGTGACTTCCAATGTCTCAACCTATATAGTGCATTGCCCCTTTATTCTCATATTATTGTTTTGCCCTCTATTTCGGAGTGCTCACGTGCAGCTGGGTAAACGGAGAAAAATTGAATGAAACACAAAATGTGTCAACATAGACACCAGTCCAGTGAATTGGAAAATAAATGACTGTGATAATTAAATGAGTTTCCCATTTTCGTCAATGATCAAAGCCTTGATGTGATGATTTTAGCAATTATGAAGGCTTTTGAAGGCCAGAACAAAGAAGCCTATTGACCATATTATCATACATATCTTTCTGCTGAGATTCTCAATGGGTTTAGGCTTTGTTTAAGATTCTACTGTCATTTGATCATTGAACTGTACAAAGCTCAGTCATGTTGTCCAGTGGGTTGTTGGAGGGTGCTCTGGTGTGGTTTGCTCCTTCTTTCCTATCAAACGTCTATCGTCCTTATCTCTCGTCCTCTTTTGTGTTTGTTACTCTCTTGTAACCCTTCTAATCCTTGGCACTTATATGACCTTATTGTGTTGCAAGTGCCGTAAAACTCTTACGGAAAAGAAAAAAAAAAGATGTTGTCCATGAGAAATAAGTAATGCAATCCAGCTCTTCTTTGTATCATCCTGGTAGATCCCACGGTCGTGATACAGACTGAGAGCACGAAGGTCACAATGGTCAAAAAGGTCACCCGAGGCGTGGCTGGTGGCGGGGATGAAGAGGAGAAGAAGGAGGCGGTGAAGGTGGAGGTTCCACTCATTGGAGAGGAGCTGGACACCTTCTTTGCTGTCAAGTCTATCGACGAAATCAAAGACAAAGTCGACATGGAAATTGACGACTTCAACAACATCTTTGTGGAATCTGAGGAAATGTGAGCCTTTTTCCCTTTCTTTTCTTTCAATTCACATGGCGTTATGGTTGTATGCTTAAGATTATTACCTTCCATATACCCTTTGCTGTGCCCCAGATAGACATGTAATTTATTTTTGGTAAGTGTTTTACAGTGCTCGCAACTGCATAGGGTCATATGAGCGCGCGGAACACATTAAACATTTTCAGTTGGAAGGAAATTTTGAATTTTGCCTGAATGGCGGGCGAAGTCTATTCTTATCGATTTTGGACCATCAAGAGATCTTTACGTGCGCAAGTTGCACATGGAACCTCTAAGATTTTTCACCCTTGTTTGAGAAGGTTATGTGTACAAACACTGTTCACACACGCCCACACACACACACACATACATACACACACACATACATTACACGCACACGTGCGCACACATGCACACACAGACACACACACACACATCTACTTGCTTATCACATGCGCATGTTTACACATCTTTACGAAATGAGCACATACAAATACATAATAAAATAATATACACAATGTAATTCGCAAAATACATAAATGGATACTTGTCTTTCTAGATTGTCGACGGTGCGCAAGGTACGACCGTCTCGTCGGAAAAAGGCAAGCAGCATCAACCCTCTGAAGACCCTGTCCAAGAAGGTGGAGATTCAGACGGAGTACACCCAGGTCACACGCGGCGTTGCCGAGAAGGAGTTCAAACGCATGAAGAAGGAAAAATGTGAGAGCTGTTTGGTTGTCTTTCACGTTTATCCGCAGGACTTCCACCATTAAAGTCTTTTACTTATTGAAGATCTCAGCTTACAGGTCTTAATTAATGATTTATTTGACCATTTTTTACATTTTTGCTTGGGTGAGGAAGAAGGGGGGGGGGGGTAATTTTTTTTCTTTTTTTGAGGGTCATCTTGTTGGAGATGTAGTTTGTTATCTAATGGTTATTACAATTCCAGACTTTATACTTTCCTTTTTTCCTCTTAGCTCTGATTTTTAGGGGATGGTTTCTCGTAGATTGTGTACTTTTGGGCTTAAAGGATTGTGATCTTAACTCTCCTGAAGTAATTGAAAACTGCATTGTGTATGATACATTCTTAAGTACCCGCTTTCTTCTCTGCTTGCGGAGAGGAAAATTCTCAGGTATTCTCTCTTTCCTTTACCCTTCACATTTCTCTTCTTCTCCCCTTTGACCCCTCACATTGTCTCCTCCTCCCCTTTCCCCTTCCCCTCAATCCTCCATAGCTTCCCATATTTCAGCAGTCCTGTAGCATTCATTTCTTTTTAGTGTTTCCTTCGTTCTGATTTTGTTCTTAGTGAAGCATGACCTTAAGTTATACTTACACACTACAACTCAACAGCAACAGCATCCGCTGCAATAATAACAAGCTGCAAAGTTTGAAAATGTGTAAGCGTATGTACATTTTACAATCTTTAGCTTGTCAATTGTGTTGTAAAGAATCAGCTCAAATTATGATAGAAGTGTTAGTGTTGTGCTCAAAAAGTTTAAACAATGGGTGGTTGGCAGGTGCTCTGGTGTGGTTTGCTCCTTCTTTCCTATCAAACATCTATAGTCCTGATCTCTCCTCCTCCTTTTTTGTGTTTGTTTCTCTCTTGTAACACCTTTAATCTTCGGCACTTATATGACCTTATTGTTTTGCAAGTGCTGTAAACCACTTACTAAAAAAGATCGTATGTACATTCACAACCTTCAAAATGTCTGTTGTGTTGTAAAGAATGAGCCCAACTTACGATAGAAATGTTGGTGTGGTGCTCACAAGTTTAACTCATTCAATGCAGAACGCTCCAGCAGTGAACTCCCCTCATATACTGGGCAGTTTTGTTATGGCAACTTGAAATTAGGTCTACCTTGGAAAATCGATCAAAACTAGCGGGCTCAATGGCTGTTTGAGCACATGTCTCTTTTACCTTTCCCATAATGCATCACGATTAGTTCAAATAACTTGGTATGGATTAGATAGATTTATTCTTTCCGTAGAGATAGCAAGGCAGAATGTGAGAATGCTCGTCGATAGCATGTGGGCGGGGCCCAGGTTTTGCGAGTATTCTCGTCCGTAGCACTGAATGAATTCATAAACAGATCTGATGTTCTGGTTGTTTCACAGTGTCCAAAGATGCAGGTTTTGCTCAGGAGGCCCTGGCAGGTCTGGCAAGTAAAGAAAACTTCAAGCAGGTCGAGCTCCGGCGTAGTGACTCCGGGTCGTCTGTTCACGGGCAACGGCTTGACCCGTTCAATGAGGTCATGCTGTTACATGTCAAAGGTAAGGTGACAATGAATTGGATTTTGTGCAGTTTTAACTGTTTTCTACAATTTCTGCTTTGTTGAAAATGTCACAGATGATGTTTATGAAGCTGTTTATATTACAAGAAAGTGTGGGTCGGTTGTTAAAATGAATTTTAACGAAATGTGGAATCAGGTGCTCATCAATTTTTGGGAATATGGAGTCATTATTATCATCTGAAAGCTTGTTCATTTGTCTTGCTTCTGCTGAAAAAGAACTACCCTTTTATTTTGATCAGAAAGTAGAGAAAGCCATGGAGGTTATTTGGGAAGTTGCGCAAGCTTTTGGATGGAAGGATGACGAGGCTATACTGACTAGCGTATTCATTTTATTTATTATCATACTGTTTTGCAGGTCGACGCATGGTGCAGACTCGGTTAGTCGAGCCACACACAAGGTCACTCAACGGAGGTGACTGCTTCATTTTGGTCACAATGGACAAAATTATCCTGTGGGAGGGTCAGTTCGCCAACGTCATTGAAAAGGCAAAGGTCAGTACACAGCGCCTACACCATTGATGACATGTCATTTGCACTTATGTCAAGAAGATATCTGCTCAGGGATGCCATTTTTCTGTTATTTCCTTTTTTCCTTGTTATTTTTGGCATCGTCTGTTACTAAGGAACTTTGTTTTATTGTTGAACTGATACGATGTTGTTTTGTTGCACTTGTTGCTTCATCGCATGCTAAATCAGTCTCGAAAATATTTTCAGTTATTTTAACAAAAGTCCAGTGGCATCCCTGATCTGCTGTCCGCATCGTGAAAAGCGAAAAGATCTGTTGTTGTTTGAGGGATGTATGTTTCTGTATTGTGAGTGTGTTTCGTGTATTCAGTGTTGGATGCTCTTTGAGATGTCTATGTGGTCATGGAAAGGAAGGAATGAGGTGGCCACTGTTATGGCGATCCCTTCTACTTCTTTTTATTGTTGCAATGTTCCTAATCTGGTTTTATTTTTGTTGTTGTTGTTTTTTTAATAGATGGTAGGCGGGTGCTATTGTGTGATTTATTCCTTCTTTCCTATCAAACATCTATTATCCTTATCTCTCCTCCTTCTCTTATTTGTATGTTACTATCTAGTAATACCTCTAATCTTTGGCACTTATATGACCAAATTGTGTTGCGAGTGCCGTAAAATTTTTACTAAAACTAAAGCAACTGACACAGCTTGTGCCCAGGCAAGTGGTTTGAAGGTAACATCGGTGTGCCCTACATCTTCACTCTCCCTCTGATGTTTCCGTCTCTTTGTTTATTAATTACCCATCACAGAAGGACCATTCTGTTAATAATAATGATAATAATTGCATTTATATAGCACTTATCCATGCTCTAGAGCATGCTCTATGCGCTTTACAACTATTATTACCACAGCAGACCCTCTGAGAACACTCAGAAACATTCTCGGCTTCTGCGGAAGCATACGGTGCAAGCTGCTGATTTCACACGCTCAAACACTATCAAACTGACAAGATCGTTCAGTGTCTATTGCCAGTTACTCTATAGCCAGTTACCCATTTCCACCAGGGTGAAGTGAGGAGAATTCGTACAAAGTGCCTTTCCCAAGAACACAATGTCAGGCCCCTGGTGGGATTCCAACCCACAACCTTACGGTTGCGGGTCCGAGAGCCTAACCAGTAGCAGAGATGCCAGTCTGTTTTAAAAATACACTTTTTTAAACGCATTTTAGTATACATGCGCAAAAAGTGAAAAAAAATGCGCAAAAAAAAAGTTATTTTAATTTTTGGTTCCGATAGAAAAGTAAATTTAGTCTTTTTGTCCGACTGTTACGGAGTTACAGCCAATGTTGATAATCGCACAGTAACATACAATGGTCCCATCGATACAGGTATCGAAGAAACAAGAGAGCCCTTTTTTCTTATGCTATTATAGTTTATCAAGCATGTGGTATATGGTATCAGCATGACTTGTACATAACAACTGCATATAGTGTAAATAGGTGAGTTTTACATAGACTTTGTAGTTTGAATGAAGCAATGTTTCAACAAGACACTTCACTGTGACTCTGGCAAATGTTTGGGACAATGCTAAAAAAAAAATAAATTAATATGGTTTGTTCGAATACTGTTTTACTCATGCTTCGTTAGAGTAAGAATTTTTGTGCCAAAATAAGAATTTTTAGTGCTGAATATAAGAGAAAAAAAACTTTCAGAGTTTGGCATCTTTGCACTAGGCCATCGTGTACATCACTGTAGCTTGAGTGTGTTGTTCCCAGGCGGCTGATCTGGCCAGCTACATCCTCCAGAAACGAGACATGGGCTGTAAGAAGGCCACAGAGGTGAGCACCGTGCTACAGGCCAAGGACCACCTCGGGGCGGGCAAACTGTTCTACCAGGCTCTCGAGGGGGACAAGCAGTGTCAAGGTGAGTGGTAACCTTTGCAGAGGTCGTTTGATTTAATTTGTGAGTTTTTAACGGACAAAGGCTTAGTTGATAAAGGAACGGCTGTCCTTCACTGGACTAGCATCGATCTCATGGAGCATGGGTTTCTTTCATTTACCTGACAACTGTCTAAAAAAGTCAGACTTTTTAACTCCGCTGCTTGAGTGTGAGCATAAATCAACAGTACAGGGGATATTTTATTATCTTTTCAGGCAAAACCCCTTGAGGTGCTATGAGTTTGAAAGTTTTCAGGCAAAACGGTTGTGGCTAAATTTTACCTATGCCGTGGGGACAAGTGTTGTGCACTCTGCGGTCTGCTTGAGTGGAAAGTGTTAAACAAATACGTGCTTAGTTTCATAATGGTTTGCTCGTGTTGTCCTCAGCATGTGGCCCTGATGCGGAGGATGAGTTGTACGAGAACAGCGTGGTTCGCTCCAACATGGTGTACAGGCTGGAGGGCAACGCTCTCAAACCCTACACTGAGTACTGGGGAGCAGTTCCTCGACACGAGATGCTCAAGAGAAATGAGGTAAGGGAAAGTGAATGCTGTACAGTGAAATCGTGTTAAGTTGGCTCTTGTGGTGTGTATCTTCCTTTTTCTACTTTTTGTGGTGTGTAAGTTTTCTCCTAATCTGCCTCGTGGTAAAATGTGGATGATGTTACCAATCATGGGAAATTAATACCAAGTATTCAATTACAGTACTTCTTAATGCTGAAATTATAAAGAAATTGAAATATGTTTAAAATTATTTATTCCTTGTATTCCCAGTTCATTGATCTTTGACTTGCAGAGCACATGCAAAGAGGAACATGGTAGATTAGAGGCCAATTAAAAGAAAAAGAAACTTGGGCAAAACTTGTGATGAAGCATGATGAACAAAGAGTTGTCTTTATCAGTGCAAAATGTGTCATTGTTTTACTGAAATAGTGACCGTGGCTTATGGATTTACTATGTATTACAAACTAGTTGATGAGACATGTCGTTTTAGCTAGGGTTAATTTCATCTCTTTTTTGGATAAAAAAATCCATTTTTTTAATGAGGAAAAGCAAAATCTCACAAATTACTGGTACATTGGATATGCGCATTCTTACGTTGGTTTGTCTTTCCCGCTTCCCACAGGTGATTGTGTTCGACTTCGGCACCGAGTTCTACGTATGGCAGGGCAAACAGGTCACCATGGAGCAGAGGAAGTTGGGCCTGAAACTGGCGCGGAAACTCTACGACAAGGGCTACGACTACACAGAGAGTGCCATCAACCCCTTCTCTCCTCTACGTAGTAAGTTGAGACCTCGCTTTAACCCTCGTCTTGTGGGAGCCAGGTTGATGTTCCCCGATAAACGTATTTTAGCGCCTCGCCTTCTGACAGTCCCGTATCAGTCCGTCCCTGGCTCAGCGCGCGTGCATCATCCACTTGTATTTTCTTTCAGATTTTGTTTGTTTGTTATTCACTCTTTGTTCCTTCTACTTTTCTTTTCTGTCAGTTTGTCAGTTGTCCTCTCAGCTTTTCTTGGAACTTACAGAAGACTTTCCACGAAATTTTGAAGATCCAGAAGCAGGATACTGTTTCTTTTTGTATTTCTCATCCAGTGCACTTTGCTCACATTTTTCTTCAGCTGAGGAAGATGGTGGCTGGCGGCGGCGGGTGCTCTGGTGTGGTTTGTTCCTTCTTTCCTATCAAACGTCTATCATCCTTATCTCTCCTCCTACTTTTTTGTGTATGTTACTCTCTTGGAACACCTCTATTCTTCAGCACTTATATTACCTTGTTGTGTTGCAAGTGCCGAAAAACTCTTACAAAAACTAAAAAATACTTCTTTCAGCTGAAGAGGATGGTGGTGTCCCCCTAAAGGCAGCAGTAAGGCCCAAGTGGTCAGTGTTTGGCAAAGTCAACCAGAACATGGAGACGGTAGTGTTCCGGGAGAAGTTTGCTGACTGGCCCGACTCCTCTCGGATCATCGGCTGTCGAGGGCATGCTTCAGCATCTGAAGCTGCCAGTGTGAGTTTTTGCTACTTTTCTTTATATAGAAGTTGTTTAGCCTTTTGCTTTGGGTATTTCAATCGTTGTTTTCCTGAGCTGAGTTACAGTCAAAATACTGAGTATGTATCTGGCTTAAGATTACTATTGTGTATATTACTGTTCATTTATATTATACTTGTGACTGTAAGCCTGCACACACCTTATATATATATATATATGTGTTGCAAGTTTCGCAAAACACTTACTAAAACTTTTTTTAAATGAAAGTTTACCTCTTCTGACAGGATTTAAAAAGCCATATGTTCTGAAATATCCACCTTTTTTTTAAAAAGTTTGTCTTAGCTTTCAACTGAACTCTTATTTTGCAACTTTCAGAAAGACCTCCTGGAGCTGAAACCGTTTGACGCGTCCCAGATGATCCCTCTGAGCACGGCGCCGGTCACTCTCAAACTGGAGGGAGACAACCTTGGACGAGGCCTCAAGTGGACAGAAGACATGCAAGGCTTCATCAAGCAGAAGGTGAGTGCTGCCAGTCACCGCCACAGTGGAGTAAACATTATCTATTACCTCCCAGCTTGTTCTCAAATTTTAAAAAAAATGTTGGGGGATGGGGGGCAGATTGTATTTATTATACATTTTTTTCCCTCCTTTTTTTGGGGGGGGGGAGGGGGGCATGTTCTCTTTTTTAAAGAATAAGTTGACAGGTAGGCTAAGCTAACAATAGGCTAGGCAAGAAGTTATCCATATCTTTACCCACTTCTGTACTGCTTGCCTCTATATGGATGTCCCTTTTCAAAAGCAAAGCTCAAAAAAGGTACCAAAGGGAAATAAAATGGAGGATGAATGTAAATGCTGTATGCTCCTCTGTGAGGCTACAATCAGCAGCCCAGAATATGGTGCTGAGATCTCTAAAAATAGATAATTATGATGACGTCCTTTAGGTAATCCAATCAACAACCTATGAATTGTTCAGAGAGCTCCAAGAATAGAAAATGAATGTTGCGTGTCTCTCATCAGGACATCATCACGCTGGACGTGGCTGTGTGGCACGTCTTGGAATACGACCACTCCAAGATGCCTCGCTCCAGTCACGGTCAGTTTCACGACGGGGACACGTACGTGGTCCGGTGGCAGTACATGATTGCTAATGCCAGTGAGTTCTTTGTTGGTACTTCTGTTTTATGCCACTTATACGGTGGTTTTTAAGCACAAGGGGGCTATCCCGAAAAATGCTCCGTGTTCAGTTTCTTTGAAAGACAAGGAGAGTTTTCTCTATAACGAAACAAACATGCACACCAGTGAAACTAAACTTCTCATATAGGCAGAGCAATGCCCTCTTTTGGTGTAGATCAAGATCTCTGGAAACCTCCGAAATTTGGGTTAGCCCACTTGTCCTTAAAAGTGACCATATGTTTTACGCCACAGTCAATACTATTTATATCATTCGGGGAGACTGATTATTTTGACCCTACCTTGTTAAGGCCTCCTTTAGGTGTGTTGGATATATCCACCAGGAATTGATTTTTATAAAAAATCTTCTCCTCTTGAGTCTTAAACTCGCATTCATTATGTGCAAAGAAAAGAGCTTTATCATTTACTCACATGTAAGAAGTTTGCTCTGTGTTGCTACACCCAGGGTGACTGGCCGGCCCTGGGAGTCCCGGGGGCCCCGCGAATTACCCAGGAATTTGATTAAAATCATCAAGACCTGGGAATGCCCGGGGTATTTGAGGAAATCTGTAAATTCCCCCGGGGAAAAAAACGGGAAGACCCGTGAAAACACGAAGTGCTCGTCTATTTCAAGAACCAAATCCGATAAGGTCAGGAAGTTCATTTTGCCAGTCGCAATTGTGATATTCGTTCGGCTTTTCGCAGTTCGAGAGTATGTTTCCCACAAACAGGCGGCTATGGCGGCAGGCGAAAGTGTATGTGGGATACCGAGGCTCGATCAGTCTACTTTCGCTTTTGTTACCACCTAGAACTTTGCCAATGATAGTCTGATAAGTTAATCACCAGCCTTTTTATTTTTAAAAAGTATGTTCTTGAACTTTTCACCTTGGGAAGAGTTCTATTAAAGTAGTCTCTGGAAAACATTTTAAAAAATTTTCTGGACAAATGACACTTTATAATGGGACTCTATTTTTGCTTGTGTGTGTATTTGTTGACTGTAGAGCATGACAACACTTTGCCAGCTTTCTGAGACAAATAATAATGTTATTGTTATTTTGATAAAGTTTTGGATATTGCTAAGAGTTTATAATATGCCAATTTGCTAAGCCAAACTGTGCAGGTCTGCTTGTGATAAATGCCTTTGTCTAAGTGACCTTACTTATAGAAATAAAGTTTTCTCTGTGTGATTCACATGCTATGTGTCTGCGTTCATGATAATTTGTGTCTTGACATGGTTTATGATCAACGTCAGGGGTAAGCTTGTACAGTTATCCTTATTGATCTTGAAATTGAAAAAGCTGTGAACTGAGTATTAAAGAAACACAGTAGACAGCGGGGTAGATTTCACAATGAGTTCAGGAAGATTCATATCTTAGCTTTAACAGCAGTTTTGCTTATCTTTGACTGACTACTTCTTTTTTTGCCTCAGATCTGCGCAGCTTGAAGGGCAGTGCAGCCAGGAATTCTCTAACGGGCCGAGAGAGGTGTGCGTATTTCTTCTGGCAAGGAAACAATTCCACCATCAACGAAAAAGGTGCATCAGCTCTGATGACTGTGGAATTGGACGAAGAGAGGGGGCCGCAGGTATCTATGATGATTATTTAGCTCTGCCAGAATAAGATTTTCCAATGTCTATGCAACTTCTATTGTTTTTTAGTATTAATTGAAAGTTACATCAGTTTTATATTTTATCTCTAATAAATGGTACTCTTACTTCTGTACAAGCCTTTATTTGCTATCAATTCTGCTTGCCAAAAGCAATAGTATGTCTTTAAAATATTGCAAAATCACATCCTTAACAAAATATTTGCATGGGCAACAACTTCAGGGGAATAATTGTTCATTTTTCGCCACATGTATGACCACCTTTGGGAATGCAACGGCTTTTTCATCATCTTGATCATTGCCTTTCTCACCCTGCACCAGGGTATAGGCCGCAAAAAAACACTTTCCACCTTTATCTCTTGATGTTGTTCCATGTCTTCCCACTTTTCTGTACATTTCTGTGATTTTTCTCCAGGTTCCATGCAGTCTTTCCTTTGGTCTTTTACCCTGTGGAGACCAGCCCAACACTTTCTTTCTTATGCAGCTGCTAACAGCTTTTTGATTAGTAAAATTATGGCGTGTCTAGGCCAAGGTACTTACAGTTTCATGCAGCCTGCAACTATCATGCTCGATTGCAATGTCTTTACTTGTTCCCTCAGGTTCGAGTGTTGGAGGGCAAAGAACCTCCCTGTTTTCTCAACCTGTTTGAGGGCAAGATGGTGCTGCACATCGGGAAGAGAGAGGAGCCGTCCACCAACACTCAGGGGCCCTGGAGGTTGTACTGCCTCAGGGGAGACTACGAGAACGAGGTCTATCTGCTAGAGGTCAGTGCTCTGTGATGTTTTTTTATTTGTTTGTTTTTCTGGTAAGTCGCGACCTCAGTGCTTTGTTGTCGTATCTCCATTTTTAATAACAGTGAAAACAGTTCATAACAAAGACTGAGCTTAAGAAGAAGTCACATTTTCACAGTTTTAAAAAATGGGGATACGACAAGAAAAAACTGAGGTCGCAAAGTATTTTACAACGCTCGCAACTGCATAAGATCATGTGAGCACGCTGGACACCTGAAACATTTTCAGTTGGTAGGAAATTTTGAATTTTGCTTGAGTGCCAGCCGAAGCCTACTCTTATCGATGCTGGACCGCCGAGGGATGTTTATAGTGTGCAACTTGCACGTGGGGGCCTCCGAGATTTTTCACCCTTGTCCGAGAAGGCAAGGTGTAGATCTTACCTCATAAGATCACAGTTGTGACTGAAAGACAGCCGTAAGAAGCTTCTAAGGAGAAGCAGTAAAATGGCTGCAGAAAGAGTCAGGGGCCCAGAGGAGGGGGCAAAGGAGATGACGGGGTTGGGGCAGAAAGTGGAGGCGAAAGCAGACAACAGAACATAGATAGAGAGCACTGTGCAGGAAAGGAGGGGAAAGGAGACAATGTTAGAGAAGAAAAATTTCTATCGCTGTCTGGATTTGGACCCAGGACCTATTGAATGAGAGGAGAACACCTTAACCTCTAGGCCACGAGAGCCCCCTGTGTTGTGTCGGGCTGGCAAGATCATCATCATCATTGCCTTTCTCTCCCTGCACCAGGGTATGGGCCGTGGACAAACACTTTCCACCTTTCTCTATCCTGGGCTAGACTCTTGATGTTATTCTATGTCTTCCCACTTTTCTGAACATCAGTTTCTATGATTCTTCTCCAGGTTCTCCGGAGTCTTCCCCTTGATCTTTTACTTTGTGGATTCCAATCCAACACTTTCTTTGTTATGCAGCTGCCTTATCGCTCGCAAGAGTTTTAGATAATCCACCTTGAGAATCTCAATTACAGGGAACCTTACGCCAAGCGTAAACAAACTTGTTGCCCAGAAAAGATGCCTAACATCCAGCCCTGACAAACAGGCATGGAGAGCAAAAATTGTAACACCTTGATTTGTTATCATTTTAACTTTTTTCTGTTTTTATTCCTTCCCTTGTTTATATGACGTTTAGTTTTCCATTGTTAAATGAGTGTCTATCCAGCTCAGCCCCAACCTTAAGTGTTATCTGTCTGGCCCCTGAGCCACTGAGGTTGACGCACCCTGCCTTAGGGGCACAGAAGGTCAATCTGATGGCAGTTCCCACAGTGGAATAGCTTATCAGTAGTCGTAAGTTTCATATGCTGAGATTCTTGAGGCAAAAGTGCTCTGTGACTTAACATTATGTGTTGGATCAGATGCATGATTATATTCAGGTGGTTCTTACTGATCTGAATTTATTTGAGGGGTTAACTGAAATAATAAAAGTGAAATGAAATGTTGAAGTGTAAGGTGTGAAAGTTACGGTGTGTTTGTCTTCTATTTCATGAAAACTACATTGTTGTCATTTTTGTCATAACAGTCTTTTGTTGTTCCCAGATCCCTGTGTGCTTAGAGCATCTACGCAGTCGTTCATCTCTGGTGCTGATCAACGTGAAGACAGGGATGGTGTACATCTGGCATGGTGCAAAATCTCCGTCCCATGTTCGTCAAGTGTGTCGCAAAACCGTGGATAGGATAGCAGAACAGTAAGTTGAATTCGTGTCACAAGGAAAAACCCAGTTATGAAATTATCTGTTGTTTTTTTAAAAATTCTTTGCTGCATTGAGTTGCCATTCTTCACTTGCACTTTTGACACCCGGTTTCTCACTGGCCTTCCATTTTGTTACTTCTGAAGTCTGACAGTGTATTTTGAACATCCGTTGTTCCAGTAAATCAAAATTTGTAAAAATTTGCATCATAGTAACAGACAGATAATGGGATCAGTAAGCATTTGGACAGGGATGTCCTTTGCCCAAACTCAGGCGCTCGCTAAAATCTCGTGAAAAGCGGAGGCACCTGACAATGCTCTCTATCATGCAGCACCCCTACGATCCTCATGGGTTATGAGATCTTTAAGCAGTAACAGACACATCTGTCTCGACTATTAAGATTTGTAGTGTTCGTCTGCTCTGGTCAACATTGTATGTCTTATGGTCATTGTGCATGGGGTTGAATACACCTACATGTGGCAGAAAATGATGGTAACAGTGACTGCATGATGGTGGTGGAAGTCTGTGCTGAGTTGCACCATCTTGTGTCTCTGTAAGTGTTGCTTTTACTTTGATCAAATATGCCTTTGGGGGCTCTCGTGGTCTAGAGGTTAAGGTGTTGGTCTCTCATTCAAAGGTCCCGGGTTTGAATCCGGGTAGCGACCGAAAAATTTTCTTCTCTAAAATTGTCTCCTTTAACCTCCTTTCCAACTCTCTAGCAATATTCTGTCATCTGCTTTCGTCTCCTCTTTCTGCCCCCACCCCCTCACCTCCTTTGCCCCCTCCTCTGGGCTCCTGACTCTTTCTGCAGCCTTTCTACTGCTACTCCTTCTTACAGCGGTCTTTCTGCCACACCCCTGATCTTCTGGTAGGAAAGATCTACTCCAAGCCTTCTTGGACAAGGGCGAAAAATCTCGGAGGGCCCGTGTGCAAGTTGCGCACGTTAAAGATCCCTTGGTGGTCTCTCTCTCTCTCTCTCTCTCTCTTCTGGCGCTGTGGCTTCATAAACGGTCAGCGATGCCGACAGCACACAGGAACTCAACACTTGCCCGGGGGTCCTTAAAAAGTGCTGAAAGTGGGTTACTGAAATGTCCCAGCAGACGGTCCTTGGTGGTCTAAAATCGATAAGAGTAGGCTTTGGCCGCCACCCAGGCAAAATTCAAAATTTCCTACCAACTTAAAGTATTTGATGTGTCCTGCGCGCTCATATGACCTTATGCAGTTGCGAGCGCCGTGAAAAAAACACTTACCAAAAGCAAAAGCAAAATATGCCTTTCTCTGTTTTTTTGTCCTTCTTTTTCATTCCTGAAACTTGAGTTGACTTTCCACTTCAGTTACCTGCGACATTCTGCTATATGTCTCCTAGGCTTTTTAAATAAACTCTGTTAGGTCAGATCTTTCTCCCTTAGTAGAATTCTTGAAATTAAGATTTGTTTCCGTATTGAAGAAATTGACATTTTTTACCTTTTTTTTAGAATTTACTCATTCTGTAGTTCTCCAGTGAGGAGATCTTTTTAACATGGTTCCAGGAAAGCACTTTTAAGAAATATTTCTGAAATGAATTAGGCAGTTGTGTATATATTGAGAAATATGCACACAGTATGCACACAATGCAAACAAACTGTTAAGTTCCTTTTATGTTGTTACATTTAAGCCGAACAATTCTGTGTTTAAAATATTCTTCTTTTGGTGTCAGTGGCAAAGGAATTACTTATATTTTCTTCTCACTTCACAGTCGTCCCCCAGAGCTAGGTTTTCATGATGATGCCACTGTGTTGATAACTGAAATGGATGAAGGAGAGGAAAAACCTGAGGTTTGGGTAGCCCTTGATGGAAGGGACCGAAAGCTGTACCATTCATTGCTCACTGGTAAGTATTTTTGAGTAAAATATCTTATTGGTCTACTTAAATCAACCGATAAAGCTATTGGGTTTTGCTGTTTTGCTAGTCTTCCTTAACACTTTGCAGTCACTTGCCGCAATAATGCGACAGTTAAAATGATCCTTTCCGGTCACCTGACTCACTTCTTTGCTTGGCCCGAGAAGTCCGTTGCAGCCACTCTCCTGGCTGGGTGACCAGATGGGGTATTTTGTACTGCTGGCTGTGTGATTGCAAAGTGTTAAATAAGCAGTTTTGGCAGTCTAGTGGTTAGACTGCCAGACTCCTAATCATGAGGTTGTGAGTTAACAGTTTGAAGCTCAATTTGGCTCGTCTTTGTGTCCTTGGGAATGGCACCAAAGTGCTATCAGATCTATTGAGGTAAATTATATAGATTGTAAAGCTCATAGAGCTTGCTGTTAGCAGGAATTCGTCACACTTTGCAAATGCTTTTTTATTGTTGTTGTGTTTGGGGTTTTTTTTTATTTGTCTTGTTTAATAGTAATTCCTTTTATCGACGCCCCTTCCCCCCTTTCCCCCTTTGAATTGGAATGCTAACTAATAGAAAACCCCTTGAATAGTTGAGTAACACTCCTGGGCTTGTATTATCAGATGCACATATGTTATTTATTTTGTGTGTTTTGTCTATGCTTTCTTTTGTTCCTTCTTTCTTTCTTCTCTTCTGAGTCTCTTCCTACCTTGCCGAGTACTTAACCTTCACAATGACTTGTTTGTATCTTGTTGCTAGGCAAAATGCTCATAAAAATTCCAAATGAATGGAACATTTATTTATGCTTGTGTTTCTTTCTTCCCCTCTCAGACCCATTGCCATACCGAGACACGTTACGCCTGTTTCACATGTCCAGTGTGAACCTAGTGTTTGAGGTTCATGAACAACTGAACCCAGCGCGCGTGCCAGATCTGGTCACACCATTCCCCTTCCTCCAGTCCGACTTATACAAGACCTCACAACCTGGTAAGTCTGTGGTCTCTCCCTTCTCCGTATCAGTTTTTCACTTTGAGCTGAGTAAAAAAAATAACAACTCTGAGGGGGAAAATGTAACAGGCTAAATAGCTGGCTACAGTATAACACGGAAAGGTGGAACACAGAATGCTCGAAATCACGCATCCGTCGAAGTGTGCCTGTGGTCCTGGGGTTGTTGTTTTTTTTCTTCATCTTTGAAAGATATCCCTCAAACTACTGAGGCCGGTCCCGACGAATTCGAGCTATCAGTGTTGTACTGTATATTAATCTCAGAATGAGAAAGGCACTTGTTGGTGTGGGTTCGAAAATTTTAGAAATCTTTTCTCCTTCCCATCTGTTTGTTTCTTCCATGTTAATAGATAGTCCATCGTCTTTAATTTATGGGATATTTGGTTAAAGGGTGACATACAATGATATCATATGAAGACTAATATCTTTTTTAAAGTCGGTGTGATTAATCCATTGTGTCCTGCATGCCTTCTCCGCCTTTCTTCCTTTTGTACTCTTCTCTATCTATCAGGCTTATATGTTTTCTAACTTCTGAAAGGGTTACATGTATTTGTGTTCAGTGAGGCCGTGTCCCTTTTCAAATTTTCAGAGTGGGTAGTTGGCGGGTGCTCTGGTATGGTTTGCTCCTTCTTTCCTATCAAACATCTGTCGTCCTGATCTCTCCTCCTTCTTTTTTAATGTTTGTTACTCTCTTGTAACTCCTCTAATCTTCGCTTCTTCTATTACCTTGTTGTGTTGCTAGTGCGGGAAAACTTACTAAAACTAAAATTTTCAGAAAAGAAACAAAACATACCTCAGTGAACTAATCCTATAACCCCACCACCCCCCGCCCTCCTCCTCCCCCTTTCCACCTCCCCCTTTCCCCCTCCCCACCTTTTCCCATCTGTCTCCTCTTCCCCATTTCTTAGATATTCACCTCCTCCTCCCTCCCTCCCTCCTCCCTCCTCTCCTCTCCCTCCCTCCCGCCTACACCCCCCCCCCTCCTACTCCTTCCCTCCTTCCCCCCCCCCCCCCAACTCTCTTGTGACTCCCCCAGCTCTGTACCTGGTGGACAACCATCACGAGGTGTACCTGTGGCAGGGCTGGTGGCCGGTGGGTTCGCACGAGGACGAGAACGTCCACACTGGCAGCGCCACAGCTCGCTTCAACATGGATCGCCGCTGTGCCATGGAGACCACACTGCACTACTGCAAAGGTACCACTCTTACTTGCACTGGTGGTGTAACAGTATTATATCAGAGACCTAGCAATGTAAACGAGACAATACAGCTTGGGCCAGACAGCGAATCTGACCTATCCTGTGACAACAGGAACTGGGGCAGTAAACTTAAATAAACATGGCTGATTCTAAAAACACACACTGTAAGTGGTGTGATGCAATAAACTGCACTAATTAAAAAATCAGACAACCTGAATTAGCTTTTTATCGGTTTCCTAAAGACCCTGAAAGGTAAGTCAGTTGGTGGATAAGTAGATAAAGTTTAAATAGCATATTATTCAGTGAAAATTTGTTTTAAAACACATACCTTTTGTATTCACCTTGAATGAAAGCGTGTATTGTGACTTGGGCACTCCTGATGGCAGTCCCATTTGCACTTAATGCCCCTGTAGTGTGTTTCTTATTTAGATCTAAACTGAATTGAAATTATATCTAATCAAGATCTAGAATCTAGATCTTGTTTTTCTCTCTTTCAGGAAGGTGGTGGATGGGTGCTCTGGTGTGGTTTGCTCCCTCTTTCCTATCAGACATCTATGGTCCTTATCTCTCCTCCTTTTCTTGTGTTTGTTACTCTTGTAACACTTCTAATCTTCAGCACTTATATGACTTTATTGTGTTGAAAGTGCCATAAAACTTTTACTTAAACTAAAACTCAGTAATGATTGTCTCTTTTGCATTTTTCAGAGAAGAATCCTTCTGACCCACCCAAAGCCTTCTTGGTTTGTGCTGGATTGGAACCCAAGTGCTTCACTTCTCTGTTCCCTTACTGGCATGTGGATACTATTGTGAGAGACATTGCGTTAGAGGTAAGAGGATCATACATAGATAAAGTATGATCAAAAGCTTACTTTTTAAAAAAATATTTGTTATTGATATTCTTGAGGGTCTGTATTAAGTGTGCGTGTAGATATAGAGATTCCTCTCGGTCCACATGAAATGTGTGAATGGATGTATATATTCATGATGGCCCGTGTGTCTTGTGTTGATCAATGTGAATATTCATGTTTTTCGATGTGAGATTTAAGACTTGATTTATTTATAGAGGTCCCAGCTGTCAAGTCTAGGTACTCTATTAATTCTTTATCTCTGGCAAGCCGCTCCCGGCAGCTCGCAGTTGAAACTCCTGTGTTGGTAAGCCACTGACAGCGGCTCGGGCACATTCCTTCACAACGAATTCAACATAAAACAACTTAGCTATTGCCAGGACTCTTTTACCGTGACTTCATTCATGTTCATTAGATGAAGTACTATCAAAACAGGTTCTCTTGTGTTGATTTAATGACCCATTTAGTTACGTTTTTGTCATTTTTAGATTTAGTACCAAAACAGGGCCCCTGAATAGTGGGTACCCCCCCGAGATAAACAATTAACTTTTTAAAAATGTTTCTTTCGGTTTAAAGTTTTTGTGGTTCATAAAGGGACTTTTCTTATCACTGCTGTGAGAAATGACAATTATAGTAAGAAAGAAAGTTTCTGTTACAGTGTCTTCCTCCTATACTGTTGACCACCATTTTGTTTGTTTGTGTGTTGAAGGAGGGTCGGGAAGAGAGCTACAAGGAGAGCGTGGAGACGGTGTTGCACCGATTAACCCAGACACGCTACACGCTGGCCGAGCTACAGGAACGACCTCTGCCCGACGGTGTAGATCCTCTCAAGCTGGAGGCTTATCTCCACGACGAGGAGTTTGAAGTAAGTGCTTGGTACATCAGAGCGGTTATACGTAAATGTCTTGAGTCGTAACTGAGTTATGCAGATATAATAGTTCTTCCAAGTTATCAAGGGAGTTGGATTAAAAACAAAAGTTGGGGGGGCTCTCGTGGCCTAGAGGTTCAGGTGTTCGCCTCTCATTCAAAGGTCCTGGGTTTGAATCTGGGTAGCGAAGGAAAAAAAATTTTCTCCAACATTTTTTCTTTTCACCTCCTTTCCTGCTCTCTAGGAAAGTTCTATCGTCTACTTTCGTCTCCACTTTCTGCCCCCACCTTCTCACCTCCTTTATCCCTCCTCTGGGCTCCTGACTCTTTCTGCGGCCCTTCTACTGCTACTCCTTGGCTCCTTCATACTGCTGTCTTTCAGCCTCACCCCTGATCTTCTGGTAGGAATGATCTACACCTAGCCTTCTCAGACAAGGGTGAAAAATCTCGTGAGGTCCTGTGTGCAAGTTGTGCACGTTAAAGATCCCTTGGTGGCCTAAAGTCAAAAAGAGTAGGCTTTGGCTGCCACCCGGACAAAATTCAAAATTTCCTACCAACTGAAAATGTTTAATGTGTCTCGCGCGCTCGTATGACCTTATGCAGTTGCGAGCGCGGTAAAACACTTACCTAGAAAAAAACAATGTTTATTATAAGTTGTAGAGAAGACCACCTCATTCTTCCATATTGTCATTCCATTCCCCTAAAGGTCTTATTTCTTTCTATTTTAGCAACTATTAAGAGAACTACATATTATTTTCTCATGTGTCCTTGCCTTGCCCTTTGTTTCTGTCTGTATAGTTTGCTTCTACTCAAAACAACCGTCTGTATAGTTTGCTTCTACTCAAAACAACCGTCTGTATAGTTTGCTTCTACTCAAAACAACCATTGTCCAGTTGATGAGCTTCTGTTTTTCTCAAGCATGGTGAAAGTTCTTTTGATCTGCTAAATCTTGAATTGTCATTGTAAAGAGATAATTAGCGCCGTCATAATCGTGGGTGGTTGGAGGGTGCTCTGATGTGGTTTGCTCCTCTTTCCTATCAAACATATTGTTCTTATCTCTCCCCCTTTTTGGTGTTTGTTACTCTCTTGTAACACCTCTAATCTAAGCTTATATGACCTTATTGTGTTGCTAGTGCCGGAAAACTCTTACTAAGCAGGTGATTGGTGGGTGCTCTGGTGTGGTTTGCTCCTTCTTTCATATCAAACACCTATCGTCCCGATCTCTCCCCCTTCTTTTTTATGCTTGTTACTCTCTTGAAACACATCCAATCTTCGGCACTTATATGACCCAGTTGTGTTGCAAGTGCTGGAAGAAAACTCTTACAAAAACTATTTAAAAAACTGACCTAATTGTGTTGCCAGTGTCGGAAAACTCTTAACTAAAACTAAAGCCTTCATAATCTCCTTGTGCTGTCCTCAGGAAATCCTTGAGATGAACAGAGAAGAGTTCTACTCACAACCTTCCTGGAAGCAGAAACAGATGAAGATACAAATGGGTCTCTTCTAGAGACGTGGGCCTTGTCTTCCTCTTCTGGCTGCTGGTGTCAGGTCTCGAACCTGCTCCCTGTACCTTGGTGCCTTGCAAGAGTTCAGTGCCAAAAATATCAGCTCTGGAGCTGCTTTCTACACAGGAACAGGCATCTTGCAGGGTTGTGAGAGTGTAGCAGAGCTGTTGTTAGCCTGAATATGCTCGGGTTTCCTCATGTGTTTTCTCTGAGAGCTTGGACTAGCTGCCATTGTTGGAGAGTATGGTCACAATCTACCTAGTCTTAACAGCCGTAAGCAACAAATAAATTTAATGTGGTCATACAATTGCTCAGGGATGAGATAATCCCGTGGCAGATATCCATCAGTGTCACACCTAGAAACAGCAGCTGTAACTACTATCCCTGAGTGCTGTCTTTCAGTGCTGAAACAAGTACTTGCACTGAACCCCAGAGCTTTTGCAACGGCGTAATGTAAATGTTCGTAGAGCTCCGAGTCAGTCAACATTGGAATTTTCATCTGACCTATCCTAACAGAGATTTTTTGAGGGGAAAGTCCAGTAAAAATGTTATTGTATTGTATCGGGCAAGGCAACAAAAATATACAGAAGTGCTTTTTAACCTCCCCTTGTGTGAATAAGCAAAAGTTCTCTCCTCTCGCCATCTTGTTAACTTTTTACAAAAATTCAAAATTTGGTAAATTAATAAACGGTATAATGCAAGCTGTTGAATAGTAACAATTAAATAACCCAACAGAAATCTCTGCAAAAGAATCTTGAGTTATTAAAAATGAGATGTTTTAATGTTTTGGAGGCTGTTAAGACTATGCAGAAACAAAAAAGTAGTGATGGGTACATGGTTATGAAGAGAAAGAGAGTACTCTCATAACAAATGGTTGATGATTCTCTTTTTGAGAATCGGCCTGATTGAAGTATATTGTTCTCAAATCTCTTGTGGCATTACTCTGAGTCTTTCCAGGGCAGTTTATTTCTTGCTCCTCCAGAAGGCAGCTGGCTTGCCTTTTCTGTCGGAATACTTATTCTTCCGCCTTCCTCTCCCCCCCACCCATTTTTTATTGGGACACTGAGAGAAGGTCAAGGGCGCTTGGGAATGTCTGCCAGTATCAGCATGCCACTCTGCGCTGTGATCTCATGCATGCAGCTCTTATTTCCTCTTCGGCATCATCACCATTGTCGACTTCTCGCTCGGTCATCTTCAACGTCAGTACCATAACGCACCTTTTCGTTGTCCTCATCATCACGATAATTGTCATCGTCATCCCTTGCCATAACGACTGGCAGCCTCTACCGCAGCAAGACCAAGAACAGGACAGTGTCAGCCTTACAGCCATCGGTGCACCCGAGGGGCTGCTGTTTGCTCCTTGTTTGCGCGGTGGAACTTTGTGCGGTGTGGTGGGGCAGTCCTCGAAGGGGGTCACTGTCATCTAAACCAGGACTGAGTGCTAAACGATTGTGGTGTGCTAGTGTCAAGTGTTTGTGATGCGCTGGTGTTAAACGTCCATGATGCACTAGTAGTGTTAAACCGCTAGTGATGTGCTATGAAAAGTATTTCTTTTGTATTTTTTTAACAATACTCTTACACTCGGAATCTTAGACATAACTCAATGCAGCATGTCTATGTGCAGTTAATCTTTTTGTTACTCTATGTCTGTGCAAATTCTGTGCAGAGTAGGCAACAGTATGTGAAACTGAGGAGAGTTTTCTTTTGAACAATGTCAGTGTGTTGATATGGCTTACGTAAATTTTAGATGTTCTGAAAGACAAAAGGGCCTCCTGAAAACTACTAGGTGCTGGAAATTCCTCAGTAGAATTTAATGGGAAACGGTGGATTGATTTCTTTAAAAAATAAAAATATAGAAATTGCTTTGGAAGAAATGCTAGAGTATATTTGCTTAATGTTTTGGGTAAAAATGAACTCTTATTGAGATGGCCTTAACTGCTGTAAATGTGGCTGTGTTTTTCCTATCTTCCCCATGGCAGTAGCCCTGATTTGCCTTGTACATAGACTCTTGTTGACTCAATGCTCTCCGTGTGAAATCCTTACCTGCTCACTGTCTAAGGGGGTGATTTTTAATTGTTGCAGCATGGTTGTTGCCCATTTCGCAGCAGGTGACTGGGCTGTGAGATGAAGATATATCGGTAGATGTGGAGTATTTGAAATGAGTGTTTGCAATGAATATTTCTTTGCCTTCTTTTTTTTAAAATAAAGTTTTGAATGGATCATGTGCTTTGTCCCTTAAAGTGATTCTCACTTTGAAATTATTTTTTATATAATATTTTCAAAAAGTTTAGAATATATTAGAATATATTCACAGAAAATGTTTGTGGTTGATTATTCTTTCCCAGCAGGTTTGATTTCTACTAATAATATAATAATGAGGATTACACTTACTATAAACATGCTTTTCGAGATGGGTCTATCTATTTACATGTATGTGCTTAGCTTTAGATAGTATTCAAGTTGCTAGCATATCTCTGTTCCTGCTTTTTGTTTTATTTTTTTATGCTTATTTCCTGAAGTCAAATAGATTTATGTTGTCAGTGTGAGAAATTAGAAAACGGTGCAAAAACGATAATCACATTCAAATTAACAATGCTCATGCAAGCAAGCTGAGATCTCTACACCCTCATCTCTCTCTCTCTCGGAGTAGCCAGAGTATTTTCTATGAAACTTTTTTATGCTAAATGCTATCAGAGTTTAGGTCATAGCTATGTCCTTTTTTTAGTGCAAAACAATGGTGGAAAAAAAAAATCAGTTTTACTCTCGAAATCAACTCTTTACTGACTGAACAAAAATCTACAAGTGCAAGAAAGTTTTCCAAAATGGAGGGAAATCACTGGTTAAGTGGTAAAGCTTTTCCAGTTTGTAAATGTAGCTGTTTTGTAGCAATATTTATAGTTGAATCTGAGAAGAACACTGGAGGTGTGGTAGAAAGTCGCAACTAAAGTGCTTATGTTCATGGTTGTGAAGGGTTTACAATTTGGTTTGCAGCTAGTTTTTTCTGATTTCCTACCAGGTTTACCTGTTTTGATTGTGGCATTTCCTATCGATGGATTTGGTGCTCTCTTGTTGGTCACCTTAACTTTTCCCGAATGACAAGTTTATTCAACGTACATAGTGGTCACAAAAACTACATAGAGGATTCGGTGTTTTTCTACTCAAGATTCCAAGCAATTCTTGTCTTAACTGTTTACAGATACATTTGTTATAGACTTTGTCCTGGGATAAGCTTTTGACTCTCCTTTCCATTGTGTGTCAGTGAAATAGTCTAGAATAAAACCGCTTCTTAAAATTAGTGATAACAACTGTGAGACTACAAATTTTTACTTTCCACTTTTCAAAATTGTTAACATTCTTTGAAAAAATAAGTTCCTAAAAAAGCTGTCTTTCTTTGTATATGTAGGGTTGAGAGTATCCATTTATTGTTTGTGTGTCTGCTTTATTTGCTCCTTTTTAATGAACCCTTGGATTCGGTGTTCTGATATCGACGGACTGACACTCCAGTGTCTGCTAAGTCTCGCGACTGTCTCTTTTTCCAGAAAGAGTACTTTTGGCTAATTTTTTCTTTATTGAACCCACTCGGGTCTTTCCTCACCCCCCCTCCCCCCCCCAACTTTTTGCTGGTTGCGTTTGCAAAACAGTTTCCTGCTTGTACTTCAAGTTTAACTTCTATTTGAAGTTTCGATAATAAGTACTTAAAATTATGCATAAATTGTAACTTTGATGATGGATAGTGTGGGGTGTGTCAATAGTAGCTAGCGTTGGGAGAGCCATGTCTTTTAATACAAACTTAAAAGTGTTATATTGTATTGTCATTTGAGTAGATTTAATTTTGCACGTACAGTCACAACGATATATCTGAGGAATATATTAACATATTAAATGCTCCCTTTTATTTCTTGTTTCTTATCATGAGCATAATCATTTCATGTCAAGTTTTACAACTGCAAACTGTGTTGCCAACTGCTATGATATATCTGGAACTTTGTGAAAATTATCTGTGCATATTGTCTTCCAGTTGTCTTACAGTGATGAAAAGGGTGCAAAACCCCAATTGTACCATACTGTATGCCCCTGTTTAGCCATTTAACAAAGTTTGTTATCAAAGTTTTGTACAAGTATTGTTTTGAGGGTTATTTGAATTTGTTAATGGAGAATTCTGCAAGGAGTTTGGAAAATCATCTCCTGACACAATGGATTATACCTCAAGATATTGATGGTGAAACAAAAGTACTTACCTATTTTTAAAAGAAACTGAATTTGAATGTTTCTTTTTTTGTGTGTGTGTCTGTGTACGAAGTCCTGTCATAATTTGGAAACAGATGACCAGTCTGGGGATTTTTTTCGAAGATCGTCTTTGACACATTAGTCAGGAGGTGAAAAGAAAATTAGCAATGACAGTCCATTGTTTAGATCGAATTCGAGGAAGGCCTTGTAAGTGCTCTGTTGGCGCTTTTCCAATGATTTTCTATCCCCCGTGTTCATGTACTTCTCAGAAAATTACCATTACTACATAAACGCATTCTATCCCTCTAAATTTAGTCTGCCAAAGTTTTGACACTATCACATGCCTTTTTTTTTTTCTCATTGCTAGCCTTTACCTGGAGTATTTGTACATGATATAGAATAAGAGTCACCCCTTTTCGTAGTTTGATTTTGCTTGTTATGTTTTCCGTGAGATTATGGTAGCCACTGCTTGATAGCATTTTTAGTAGCAGCAAAGTGTGACCCTGAATGAAACCATTACAACATTCTGTTACATTGAGCCCATATTCTCTACCATTCCATTTCTGTTGTCCCTTAGCTGACATCCAGTTTCTCTCCCCCCCCAGTTTGTCCATATTTGAAGAATATTGATGAATCATTGCGCATTTACACGTGCTCACCTTTGTACATATATATATTGCAAATAAATAAGCATTTGTTTAATTTGTATTAAATGTTGTTTGTTTGCTTGTTTGTTTGTTTGTTTATGTGGGTGTGTGATTCAAACATGAGCGATATTCTTATTGGTTTGAACTTTGAACCTAAATTTCCCCCGTTTCAACCTGTTCCCTTTTTCACCTGTGATACTTTCAAATACTAATAGTACTAATAAATTGTGTATCAATTATATACAGTAAAAGATTATGGAGCCTACAGAATGTAAATATCAATCATAGCATATATATAATATGCTTCAGCTTGCATGCAAGGGAAAAGGATGGAGCTTTTGAAAATTCTGAAACCTTTGCTCTGTAGCTTTTGCCATATTCTTGAGATTTACAAACTAATATGGACATTACGCAACATTGAAGTAAAAACAGAGCTATTCGTGTAGATTTCTCCTTGGTGTCTACTGTAATGCCCTGGAAAAAATTTGAAACTGTTTTCTCAAACCTAATTGCTAAATATAAAAAAGAGTGGCTATAAAATACTTTTACATTATTTTTAATTGTTCTACTCTTTTTCTAATTACAGTCCTGTGTGGAAACACTAATGCTCTTTGCTTACTCCCGATAATATCACTCGCCCCCTCATTTAAAAAAATGTTTGATGAGTAAATTAATGACTTGAAGGAGCCCAGATTCATCATGCACGTAAAAGATGTGAGTTTAATTTTCAGATGGGGACTTCATTGAATATCTCTTTCTTCTAGAATCTAGAAACCCTCACATCCTGGGTTGGTCCTAACAAGTACACTTGAAGTAGTTGATCTAATTTGTGTTGATGAGGCGTAAAACATTCAATACCTCTATAAAGAGCCGAGGCATCTTCTTGTCGTTAAATCCACCTCAAGGCGAGTGACTTTGAACTCAAGGCAGTTATGCTCCAGGGCCACAACAGATGTGCAAACTGCACCGGGATGTAAAGATAGTACATGGAAATTTCCCATAACCCAGTTTTTTAGATGTTTCACACACACGATCCATGATCCTCTTCCCCTCGTCTCCCCCCTAGCCCCCACCCCCCCACCCCCCTTCTGAAAAGGCTACAATCTTGATGGTTGAAATAATACTTACATGAGAAACAAAAGTGCAGGTTCCACCCTCTTTACTTTGCTTTTTGTTTTGCTCCACTCGCTCGTCGCACCGATGTATATATAGATATATCAAAGATCGTACATAACAAGATACTTCACTCCTCTCTTTGAGCCAATTTAAAAAATGTCCTCAAAATCCGGTGAGGCCCTCTTCTAAAAAGTGTGGACTATGCGAACAGAGTTACCCTACTTGTGTGAAAAACAATAAAAGTGAAACTAACAAACTGTGCTATTCCTATTCTTCCTCTGGAGAAATGAAAGAGAGCTTCAAAACGAAGACTGCAGCGACACCTGAACCAATGCGCGGACTTCCGTGGATGCTTTTTTGGCTGAGAGAACTATCTTGTTATGTACGATCTTTGAATATATACACTTGCAGGGATTACAGATGTCTTTGCTGTGGTCACAGGTACACAATTGTAACACACAAGAGGTACGTTTACATTAATGTTTAGTGAGTGAGTGGCGTCGGTCATCCCATGAAAAGCGACTCGAGGAATTTGCAGCAGCGCACTGCATGCTCACTCACACTCACATCCATACTTATTCATGCGCACATCACATTTACCTTTATACATTTTTTTTGGTCGCCTTATGCCTTCCAGCCTTTGTATACTTGAATAAAAAAAAGAAAAATGGAGCTTCAAAGCTTCATTTTTTTTGCTTAAGAAATCTGCATTTTGCTTTGTTTATTGAATTGTGCACTTGCTGTGTTCTGAGTTTTAGTACAATTTGTAGAATGGTCGTTATCATTCATTGTTTCTCTCTCTTCTGTTCTGGCATAACACTTATTATAAGAAGTTATACAATGCAGCCTCTCTATAACGACTCGTCGGGACCAGAAAAAAATGTCGTTATAGAGAGTTGTCGTTATAGAGAGGCAACCAAAAATATTATTCATGATATAAGGTAAAAATCGGGACCGGGGCACTATGTCGCTATACAGGGGATATCGTATCGAAGGTCGTTATATTATAGAGAGGCTGCACTGTAGGTATAATGACTAGACTCTTTGCATTGCATGCACCTACATCTTTCTAGTGGTCACAATAGGCACGATTGACGCAACCAGCATCCTGAATGATCCAACTTCTCTCTGTGGGAGCATAAAATATTTTGTGGGTGGTTGGCGGGTGCACTTGTGATTGGCTCTTTCTTTCCTTTCAAACATCTATTGTCTTTAAATCTCTCATCCCATCTTTTTTGTGTTTGTTACTCTCTTGTAACACCTCTAATCTTCTGCACTTATTTGACCTTATTGTGTTGCAAGTGCTATAAAACTATTACTAAAAACTAAAGATAAAACATTTACCTTAAGGCAGTGTTTCTTATTCTTCATAACCAATGTTATTCTTCATAACCCATTTCCTTCTTCTTTCTTATCAAACACGTATTTTCCCTATCTCCTCTTTTTCTTTGAATGTTACGCTCTAGTAACACATCTAATCTTCAGCACATATATCACGTACGTGAGTGACAAGCTTGGTAAAACTTACTAAAAACTAAAAACTCTGCAATTTCCTGTCTTGGTGTTTGCCTTTTCGTAAATGTGTGTAAAGGTCTCCCCTGCAGAGGAGAGATCTGGGATTCCAGCCCCCCTCTTTGCAAATTCTTCCACATCCCACTGCTCAATTGCAGAGGTAGTCAGTCAACTTTTGATCGGTGGATGGTTGGAGGGTGCTCTGTTGTGGTTTGCTCCTTCTTTTCTATCAAACATCTATCTCTACTCCTTTTTTTGTTTGTTGCTCGCTTGTAACACCTCTAATCTTTCGCATTTATATGACCTAGCGCCGAAAAACCTCTACTAAATCTATTTTTTTTAAACCCAAAGTGCATCATATTTTTACGTACACTTCTTACTGGGGCTTAGTATTTCTTACCTTTCAGCAAATAATGTGTCATTTTAAAATGCAGGACCTACTCTCTATCATTTATGCTAAATAAACTTTCTCAAGTTCTGAATTTTTCTGATAAAAGAAAAGTATAACATCCCTACCTCCATCCCACCCTCTCTCTATTTTAAAAAATCACGCTGAGCTAAATATGACAAAAAGCATTTCACATAATGTTTGTACTGTCAGTTCCAAAAGAGAACCCATAGAGGAGGTGAAATAAAATGTTTTATTATCATAAGGATTTTTTCTCTTGGCCACTGAAAGTGACTAGAAGACAAGTACATTAACAACATGAAGAGTACAGAGTAGTACGCACTGCTCTCTCTCTCTCTCTCTCTCTCTCTCTCTCTCTCTCTCTCTCTCTCTCTCTCTCTCTCTCTCTCTCTCTCTCTCTCTCTCTCTGTCTCTCTCTCTCTCTCTCTCTCTCTCTGTCTCTCTCTCTCTCTCTCCCTCCCTCCCTCCCTCCCTCCCTCCCCCCCCCCTCTCTCTCTCTCTCTCTCTCTCTCTCTCTCTCTCTCTCTCTCTCTCTCTCTCTCTCTCTCTCTCTCTCTCTCGCATACATTTCAATACTTACAATTTGTAAAGCAAACAAAGTTTACATTTTTTTATGTTTCTGTGGGCGAGAGGCCCAAGTTTTGATCAGCAGAAAAAAAGCCTGATTCTGATGAGGCAAAAAATATAAAGGGTGTCTTAAAAAAAGGAGGACTCGTATAAAAAGAGTAATAATTACTCAGTCATATATATGCATTCATTTCAACAAAACTTCCAACAAACAAAATTCAACATGAAGAAAATCAATCAACATTTTTTAGATACATTAAGTTTTATTAAGAATTTCAACCAAATTTGGGTAAAACTAAAAAAAAATCACTTCTTAAAAGGGTCCTTTATTTTTAAGACACCCACTACATATTAGCTGCTATCTGCTCTACAGGCCTCTTTGTTTAGTGGGTGGTTGGCGGGTGCTCTGGTATGGTAGCTTCTTCTTTCCTATGAAACATCTTTCATCCTGATCTCCCCTTCTTCTTCTTTTATGTTTGTTGCTCTCTTGTAACACCTCTAATCTTCTGGCTTATGCAGTTGCAAGCGCCGTAAAACCTCTACTAAAACTAAAAAGCCTCTTTGTTTCAGTCTGGGACACCCAATTTGACAGTGGGAAGAAAGGCAAAACAAGAAACATAGAAATAATGTGCATATTTACATTACAGGTGTCATGACGCGGTGGAATCAGGCGCTCGTCAATTTCTGAGAAAGTAGAGTTATTGATATCTCTGAATACTTTTTCATTTGCCTAGCTTTCAATGAAAAAAATCCCATCTATCTTGAATAGAATTCGAGATATTTGTGATTGAAGGAGGTAGGGGTCGCCTGGTTTCAGTGGTAAAATTATCAAGAAAATGGCTGCCAAAGCTTGGTGGCTTCCAAAGCTTTAGAGTTCTTGGAAACTGTAAATTTACATTTTCTGTTCCTTTAATCAAAGTTTTCAGTAAATCCATATAGCATTATATTTTTTAAAGGACATAAAAGGTGTTGAGCCAAAAAATAAAATTCAATAACAATTTCCAAACTGAAAGAAAAATGCTGTTTTCTTAGATTTCATTATTTTGACGAGCGCTTGATTTCACCATGAAGCCTCATGCACGAAATTTTCATTCACTCGTATTAGATTTAAATTATAGAAGTGAAGTGGAACAAAAAAGAAGGTCTTTCATATATTTTTTCAGTGTTGTATTCAGGAAAATGGCATGTAAACTTACAGAAAATTTTTTAAAAACTAAAAAAAGAGATAGACATCGTAATGTAGATGCAAAGAGTTGGGTTTTGTAGGGGTTTTTTTTTAGTTGCAATAAATTTATCATTCATGCAAGGTACATATTTAAATTCACACAAAAAGATAAGCACACTGCAGCTGGATACTTGCATAATATCATTTTCACTGGTAAAAAAAAATGTAACTTCAGTATGGGAGGACTTGTTCACATGATTCCCAGCAAGGTATCGTATTTTCCCTATACTAAATTGGTTTTAGAGTTTTTTAAGTTTCTCTGCATCTTCCATAGAAGACTGGTGATTATTTGCGTGTCCTCCTCTACAGACCCTCTGTTGTTCAAATAAGCGTTGTTCAAATAAGCCAAGGCATAAAACTCCCTTTCAATAACAGCCTAATTTACGTCAATTCAACACGGCACCATGCTGTCTTTTAGAATAGAAATATCAGAAACAGGAATATTTCATAAACTAGCTTCATTCAAGACAAAAAAGCACTAAAATCATCTTGATTTCTATGCAGTTTATTTCTCTTGTCTTTCATACTTGAAGTTCTCAAATTTTTACTTACACAAGGAAATTTTTCTTGCGGATTATGGTATTCTCAATTTTCTCTGCAATCTCAATTCTAAATACAATACTTATAAGTTTGTATAATGTCCTACATGTTACAAACTTTAACTCTTTAAACCCTGAAATTTTTCCACCATTTCACAGTGTATTTTTTACAGTCACTTAAACATGGTGCACTATGTCTCAAAAGCTAGCCTCCAACTTCTAAATGGAGGAGACAAAGGCTTAGTCATTACTAAAAAATTTGGTTCGAGAATAGTTCCGAAAAACAAGCAAAAACTAGCATTTAATCAAACGAAAGTTGTCACTAGTATCGCACATTCACAGCATACGATGGGGAACAGGGTTATTATCGCCCGACGCTCCCAGTGCCTGATGGGGTTTAAGAGTTAATTCTTTTCAGACTCTGTGCGAATTTCATAATGTCTACTAACAATACAAGTCCTCTCAAAATAAAATCATTACAGATGCTGTCCAAACATTGGGAATTCCCACCATTATTATGATCATAACAATCGGTCAAACCTCTAACGCGTTACCCCTTAAAAATGAGGGATTAATTAACATTTCCAAGCCTGATTCACCAGCTGTTTTCAGGAGCTGAATGTTGCTGAACGTTCCTACACCCCACAGCCGGGGAGCAGCAGCACCATAACGGTGATGTTGTCCCGAGAACCAGCCAGTAGAGCGGCCTGAGTCAGGTGCTCCGCCATATTCTTGGCCAGCTCTCGCCGGAAACCCTCAGGTGTCTGTGGCTCGCCTTCTTCAACCTGGGAGTGAATCGGCACGGAGAGGTAGTCCTCACCCAGGTCACGGTGAAGGCTTATGTCATCTGTCGTCTCGCTCAGGTGGCTCCCTGGTGACCACAGATAGACAGTCAAAAGTCATTCTTTTTTTCCCTATCTGATACACAATTAAAAGTCATTCTGTTTTCCAAGTCTGATGCAAAAACAAAAGTCATCCTTTTTTCCCCAATCTGATGCAGAATCAAAAGACATTTTTTTTTCCACAAATCTGATGCAGAATCAACAGTCATTCTTTTTTCCCGAATCTAATGCAAAATCGAAAGTCTTTTTTTCTTCCGATCTGATGTAGAATCAAAAATCATTCTTTTTTCGCCAAAATCTGATACACAATCAAAAGTCATTCTCTTGTTCCCAATCTGATGCAGAATTTAAAGTCATTCTTTTTTTATCAAATCCAATGAAAAATCAAAAGTCATCCTTTTTTCCTAATCTGATGCAGAATCAAAAGTCATTTTCTCTTCTAAAATCAGACACAGAATCCTGAGAATCAAAGGTGACCATTCTAAAATAGATAATTACAAGAACGAATATCACACAACTCCCCGAAAATAAAACATTTACATTGGTAAAGCTGAACACAGTATTTGAGTTCAACAGTAGTCTCAGGTCTCAAAGTGAAAAATAATATTCTTTTCCTAATTGTACCCTTTTAAATAAAACCTACAAAATTCTCATCTGTACGGGAGGGGGGGAGGACGGATGAACACGTAAAAGCCAAATAATCTTCTTTGGTGATCTTGAAAAATATGACAGTCACTTGCAACACAATAACGTCAGATAAGTGCTGAAGATTAGGGGTGTTACAAGAGAGTAACAAACACAAAAAAAGGAGGGAAGATAAGGAAGATCGAAATTTGATAGGAAAGGAGCAAACCACACTAGAGCACCCATCAACCATCCACTCCTCCTGGTTGAAAAACTTAGACCATAGTAGTAGAGGAATAAAGGAAGCAAGTGCTTTAGTTTTAGTAAGGTTTTACTGTGCTCACAACTGCATTAGGTCATATGAGCGCCAAGGGGTGGATGTCAACAGAGAAGTCCAAATGGGGAATCAGGCTTACTCTGCTCACCTGTCTAGCCTCAACAGTACAAAGTCTGCTTCGACTATAAAGGCACCCCGGAAATAGCAGTTCACAAGAATCTGAGAGTGACAAACATACAAAAGAAGTAGAGGAAAATGATGTTAGTAAGGATGAAGAAAGGAAAAGCAGCAGTTCCCCAAATGTTGTTTCGGCACAGTATGAGCATGACTTTGATAATCGGCCCATTTACAATTCTACTGTGCATAAGAACATGTTAACATCTCCCCTGTGGGAATGGCCTAAAGACACTTCAGTCTGTAGCACTGCCCTGGGGCGGGGGAAAAGGAGGGGAAGGACGGGAGAAGGGGGAGAGGGAAGGGAGAGGGGAAGAACGGGATGCAAAGGGGGGGGGGGGGGGAGCAAGTGCTTTGATAGAGGAACAAGTGACAACAAATTACATAACACAAAGTATGAAATATCACAAGACACAACATCGCTGGTTGCTGTACTCCGACATCCTTTTGCTCAATGTTTAACTTGTTCTGGTCAAGGATTCGTCATAACTGTCATTCACTCCAGAGTTGTCACAACTGACATTTTTTGACATCCTTCTGAGCTTCAGTTACTGGCTATCCAACAAAAGAGAAGTGAACACCAAAAACAAAAATCACTTAAATAAATGTACCTATCTCTGTGTGAAGGTCAGCCAGAACATTTGTAGTCCCATAGCCCGAAGTCTCAAGATTCAGAGTGTTTGTCTGCTTTTCATTTGGTCCGGACTGACAAATAAAATAAAAATGCATAAATGTTAGACGTGCTGACAAAATGAGTAACTTCTCGCAATCAACAAATGGAGATATTGGCCAAAAATCGACACTGGGGTCAAATTTTTTGATTTTCTATTGATACTTTTTTTTCAAGTATAACATGCCTTTTATTATTTCACTTATAAATTGTAAAAACTTCACCTATAAGCCTGATGTATCTTTTTCCATAGGGCTTGAATCCAGAAATAACTCATTTTGTCAGTACGCTTCACAAATGGCCTTTTCAACCGGATTTCTTACTCTAAAGTGAACATTAATATGTAGGCCTACTGCAAAAGACTCAGCAAGGAAAATAAAGAATGAATCTTTAAAAGCTAACATCAGGTTAATATAGCAATCTTAAAAATACCCCTCATAGTTATATAAGAGACCTGAGTACAATACAAAAGAGCTAAGTGGATCTGTTACAGAATGTATTGAGTTCATTCAAATTATATTCTAGAGGAGCTTGCAAAGTATTCTCTTTCTAGCTTTCTGCAGTAATTAGTCGGTTTCTAATCAGTCCAAAAACAGCCCTAAAATGTCTTGACTAGGAGTTGTTATAGTATAGAAAATGAATAATCAAGGCCTAAGAAAAAGAATACTGCTATTTGATTATTGTGGAGAACCAAATGATGCCCCCCAAAAAAGAACTTACGACATTTGAGACATCTGTACGCTCTTTGTCCTGTTGTTCATTTTTCTTTGAGCCTGACAAACAGAGAAAAGAAGATGAGAGCACTACATTTCACAAAAAACTCAAGGCCAGTGAAAAAATGCTGTAATGAGCTCAGAGCTACAACTCTTTTCTAATAATGATGCGTATCTGAAGCACTCACAGGCCCTACTGGAATAACAAAAGAATTTCTAGAGCAGGGGTAGCAGACTTTGTCATTCGACTGAAGCATAAACTGCCTTCTGCTACCCAGCCCAGAAGTAAGTGAGAGATCAGTCGTTGTTTTTGAAGAATATGAGTAAGTGACTATAAGCTTCTGTATGTGAAAGAATGCAGCACGATGTATCCCACTAAATCATGTCAGTTTAACTCAGCTCAGACTACTTGAACTTTTTTCAGATCTCCTCTTCATCTGTTGTGTTTTTATCTTATCTTTGTTAAGGGAGCCACAAGTATGACTGGTCAGTAGAAGAGGCATTCATACCTAAAAGATCAAATCAAAAGAGAATTAACCTACAGACAGCCTCAAAAACGGAAACCCGAAGCCAATTTTTTGCCTGATGACAACGCACATCCCACTAAATTTCTATCTGTGTCACATCAAAACACAATATCTTACTTCCTGCCCACTGTGCAAATTCCCTGGAAGAACAGTCAACTCTGTCCTTCCCTACCACAGAAAACAACAAAAGCTGAGGCTCTCATCCATCACCTTCGACAATCTTCAGTACCTTATTAGGAAAAGTAAAACAAATGAAGGAGACTACTTAAAGGTAATTATATTCAGAAAAGACAAAGTTCAACAACTCCTGGATCAAACCAAACCAGTATATATCTGTGCTCCTGTGCATATACTGAGACTGACAGATATGCACCCCAAAACATCCAATTATACTCTCAAGGCAAAAAAGAGTAAAGGTAATCATGCTGAAGCATGCATTCAAGTCCATCAGATTAACCCATCTTAGCCATGTGTCTATTAAACCATATTTTCCAGCATCTTATTCACTCTTTTCTTAGCCCCCACCCCAGCCAGTGCTACTGACTGAAGTGTTTTTAGGCCATTCCCAAAGGGCTGATTTTTTTAATGCCATGCTCATACTGTGCCCGAAACAACATTGGGGGAACTGCTGCTTTTTCTTTCCTCGTCCTTACTATCATCATTTCTCCTCTATTTCTTTTGTATGTTTGTCACTCTCATGTGAACTGCTATTTCCGGGGTGCTTTGATAGTCGAAGCAGACTTTGTGCTGTTGAGGTTAGAGAGAACAGAGTAAGCCTGATTCCCCGTTTGGACTTCTCTGTTGACATCCACCCCTTGGCGCTCATATGACTTAATGCAGTGGCGAGGGCCCTAAAACCTTACTAAAACAAAACAAACTCTTTTCTCACTTTACCATCTGACTTCTTATCTTGACTCACCAGACTCAGAACCGGCAGCCTCCGGCCCAGTGGAGAACATTACACGAGAAGAAAAATTTGTTCCTTTTTCTTGTTTGCTTGAACTTTTGTCGCAAGAAGCGAAACTCTTCACAGACTGTGTGCGCTCCTTCTCTCGCTTATTGCTGTTCTCTTTATCTTGGCAAGACTGAAGTAACGGCAACAGAGTCTCGTTGACCCGGCTCGGGGCTGGAATAAACTGGCTGGGAAGCATCTGTGTAGAAAACACAAATACAGAGTAGCGCACACACAAAAACATGCACATAGGGAAACACGCATATAGCAAAGAGATTTTCAGGTCCGAAATGTTTTCAAACTCATATTTTCTTTGTCTTTAAAACACGCAGAAAGAAAAATTCTACTTCTTCATCATACAATTTTTTTTGTGTGTTTGTGGGTTGGGGGAGAGGGGGGGAGCAGGGGAGACTCTCACCATAAAGTTTGGTCAATTGTGTCCACTGCAATCATCATTCAAATGCACCTCTTCAATGTAGCAGTATAATCCTCAGATCCCACCACCCACTATCCCACTCTGCCGAACTTTCCATTTTTGTGAGGACCAAAATATTTGCTTTTAAAAAGCTAATGTGTATGTCATTCTGAGTCAGACGATACAACAAAGCAAACAGCAGCAAGAGATAACATTTCCTTAGGAGACCACTCAGTACAACAGGGAGATCAAAATCAGCCTATTGAGAAGATGTTCATTTTCACCACGGAAGCTTCAGCACAATGTTTTATCAATAAATTTAAAAAGTAATCTGTTCTGCAAAGAAAATTAACAGATGGCTAAGCAATATTACTAAGAATAACATTATTTTTTAGCTGCAACAGATAGTAGCTTTGAGGAAAGTATCTTGTGAATAATGAAACAATTCTCATCAAAGTTTTCAAAACTGTCTTGTGTAACTTTTACACTTTGCAGTGACACAGCCAGAAGTACAAAATACCCCACCTGGTCACCCAGCCAGGAGAGTGACTGCAACGGACTTCTCAGGCCTGACCAGAACAGATAATTTTCACCGTCGCATTATTGCGCAAAGTGATAAAGGGTCTCCCAAAAGTTGGAAAAGAGCAAAAAAGTGTTTGATGGAAACGGAAATAAATAATAGAGCCATTTGGCAGTGTTGAGGTACCTTAGAAAGCAGAGATGCGACCTCCTCAGGGGAGAAGACCTCCCAGACGCCGTGCGAGGCCAACACAAGGAACTGGGCGTACTGGTCGATGGGGATGGTGGTCACGTGAGGATCCACCAGAACACAGTCCTTCAGCTTCTTGTCTCCATGGTTACCAAGGCCTCTCGTTACAGACAAGACTCCATTCAAGCGAGTGTCTCTCTCACTGTTGCTCAGATTTCCTCCTGTAGCGTTCAAGGAAAGAAAAGAAATTGAGGGCACTGACAGTACAATCAAGCCTTCTCTAACCGCTACCTGTATAAGACAATCATCTGTAGAAACAGCCCCTTCCCATTTTCGCCCTTGAGATTTTTTACAATATAATGACAATATCTAAGATGGCTACTTTTTTCCTCTACAATGGGCGACTGTTTTACACAATTTCGACCATATTTAAATTAGATAACCAGCAATAAGAAAATAGCTCTTGCACACTTCTGCATGATTATCAGAATGACAAGGATGGGTCAGGGCCAGATTTTTCTAGTTTGCTTTGATTTTAGCTCAATCCAATCCAAAGGTTCACAGTTAAACATGCTTGTATTTCTGGGCTACAATGAGATCAGACTCATTTTGGGCAAGAAAACAAGAATACAAGTGCTAGCTGTGTCATAAACAAGTTGAGAATACCATTTGACAATTTGTGTTTGTGGCCCTGAATGGGTGAATTGATTGTATGTGACTTACCCCCCACCCCATCCCCACCCTTTCAAACAAGTAAGATCAGTAAGGTGGTAACAGGAAGATTTTTCTTCAGACCATGTTACGCTAACAAGCATTTCCAGATAGAGCAATCACATATTAGGGAATGGGGGCTCTCGTGGTCTATAGGTTAAGGTGTTCACCTCTCATTCAATAGGTCCCAGGTTCGAATCCACATAGCAAAGGAAAATATTTTACCCCAAAAATTTTCCCCTTTCACATTCTTTCCTGCTCTCTAACAATGTTCTGTCTTCTGCTTTTGTCTCCATTTTCTCCCCCCACCCCCTCACTTCCTATGCCCCCCTCCTCTGGGCTCCAGACTCTTTCTGCAGCCTTTCTACTGCTACTCCTTGGCTCCTTCTTACTGCTGTCTTTCAGGCACACTTCTGATCTTATGGTAGGTAAGTTATACAGCTAGCCTTCTTGGATAAGGGCAAAAAATCTCAGAGGTCACATGTGCAAGTTGCGCATGTTAAAGATCCTTCAGTGGTCCAAAATCTATAAGAGTAAGCTTCGGCCATCACCCAAGCATAATTCAAAATTTCATAAGAGCTAAAAATCAAAACAAAAATATTGGGGAGAAAATGTCACCATCTGATACCTACCTGCGTTCAAAACTCGTTTTCTCTCTTTTGGGTTGTTAGGCGTGTGATCTTTGGTCAGATGATACGGCTTGTTGTCTCGCACAAGAAGAGCATGTGAGTTGCCTGTTAATGACATCAAATAGACAGGTTTAAAAAAGAAGTTTCATTAAAAAGAATGTCTGCTTTCCATCCACAACATCTATCACTGAATCTATTTTTCTATAAAAGAGGATATGTGTTTTAGATAATGTTTCATACATTTGTATGCTAACTTCAGTCACATGTATTTTGGGTAGAGAGACGTACATAGGCATAACAACAGCCATTTCTTTGTTGTTGTCGTTCATCCATCGAGGAGATGAAGACCATCTATTTACCCTGGTGTCAGAGGTGAGTGTGCAGAGGACTGGTTAGGCTCATCTTGAGTAAAGAGAATTACATGGACTAAATAACAGCTTTTTTTTTTTTACATTTTAGTAAGAGTTTTAAGGCACTTGCAATACAATAGGTCATACAAGTGCCGAAGATTAGAGGAGTTACAAGAGAGTAACAAACCCACAAAAAAAGAGGGGAGATAAGAACGATAGATATCGGATAGGAAAGAAGGAGCAAACCACACCAGAGCACCCACCAACCACCCACTAACAGCTCTTTAGTACTGAGAAAGAGGACGACAAACAAACAGAAACAACCGAGAGCAAAAAAGTTGGACCTACCAATGGAACACTCCAGCCACTCTCACATCCTTACGGATAGGAGAAAAATAATGAGGGTCTCTTTGTAGGTGAAAATTACAAAAGGAATAAACAGGAAGACAAAGCAGCAAAGGTAAGTGAGGAAATACTTGAAGAGCCACAAGATAAAACAACAGAGTACAGCACAGAAGCAACTGTTTTGCACTCATTGCCACAGGCACTTTCAAGCTTGCTGTGGTCTAATTGAACATAAGCGACATCACTACACGATTTAAAATATAAACCAATACAGTACAAACACTATCATTAACAGTGACAGTATATTAGTGCTTTTCCCCCATTTAAAGTCAGTATCATTTGATGTCTTTTAAAAAGAGTCAAATGATGCCTCTCTCTTATCCTTGCTCCGTTGCCACAATGTTTCACTTCTACCTATGAGCATTTGATAACAGAGAGTTGGGGCCTGTGGCCTTACATACAAGTAGGAAGAGCATATATCTGCAAACAGCCTGACTATGCCTCCCTCAACTGCTGACAAAGATATAATACAAACACAGAACACATGAAATAACCCAAGTAGTGTTGAACAAAGTGGCCATAAATCTTGAACAGAGAATGAAACTTCCAGCTAAGCTGGACATCCATTCCTCTGGCTCACCTGCGTTGGCAACATGAATAAGTCCAAGTTCCTCCGGAGAATTAGGCTGTCCTCCTCTTGCCGAATGTTTCTGACCTTCTGAACCAGAAACTTCTTCTTCCAAGGACGCCAACTTATTGTCCTTTTCTCCTTCACCATTGGAGGGCTTTTTGATATTCTGGACAACAGCTGTAAGGGCAGAGGTTCCACTCCAGCGAACTTTCGATCTTTCATCTTTCCCATACGACAGTAGAATGTCCATTAATAAATATGTTTTTTTCAAAGCCTGAAACAGATGATATGAACAGCACTGTTACACTCCAGCAAAAATTTCTTTTCAATCAGTTAGAAAGAAGAAAGATGAATTTTCTCTTTCAAGGAACAGGAAACTGACTTTATCATAATAAGTAAGCACTGATTCAGATTGAAGTAATCAACACCCACAAGTACAAACTGCCAATCATTGAACTGCAATTAAGAATCGAAAGATTCTAAAAATCAGAGCCACTAGTTACCATTATCAGATGCTGCTGGAAAAAGCAAACAATTCATTGACTCTAAAAGCAAATTGTGGGAAAAGTAAAGTAAACTTGTTCCCGCATCCGATCCGGACATTACGGATTGCCTTGTCAGTGAGACAACTTCCTGGGCCTTCGGCATTTTGTGGTAGAGAGGTCAGTTCCTTTCCATGCCATCTTTATTTTCAAAACTCGGTCAGGTACGCATTACTGCTGTGTGGGCAGGAGGGGGCAAAAAAATCCGAGGCTAGAACCCGGACTTTCTGCTTTGGAGACGAGCGCACTATCCGCTCCGCCACCGTATTGACACAAAAGAGCTGACATTTTTTATAAGTCAACCATTTCTCAAAAAGCCAGGATCAACTCCCAGACACCAACAGGTGAAACTTTGATACAGATTCTAGATGTGCCATGTTAATTTCAGTTCATTAATTTGTTTCTTCGATCAAGAACTGAGAAAGGCTGAAAGACTACTGACCTGGTGCATCTTATCTGTCATGGGGTGTTTTTTCTTCTTGCTGGTTTTCTTTTCAGCTTCATTTTCAGTCAACTTGTCTTTCATGACTTCATTGTATTTTTCATAGCACAGATCCATGATGTTCTGCAAAGATAGAGTCGAAAGTGTTTAAAAATTAGATAAATATTTTGATAAGCATCCTGCAGTAAAAAATAAAGAAAACATCTAGACTTTCTTTTCCCACTTGTCCTTGGAGTAGTATACCAGTCGTCTCCTATTCCACAAGGAGCAACACAGGGGTCTCCATAATATCTATCACTGTTCAGTTGTTTTGTTTTAGTAAGGTTTTATGGCGCTCACAACTGCATAAGGTAACTTGACCACAAGGCGAGGATGTTAACAGAGAAGTCTTTAACAGGGAATCAGGCTTTCTCTGCTCACCCCTCTAGCCTCAACAGTACAAAGTCTGCTTCAACTAACTGAAATAGCAGTTCACAAGAGAGTGACAAACATACAAAAGAAGTAGAGGAAAATGACGAGAGCAAGGATAAGGAAAGAAAAAGCAGCAGTTCCCCAAATGTTGTTCTGGCACAGAATGAGCATGACATTGATAAATTAGCCCATTTACAATTCTATAGTGCATAAAAACATGTTAATATTCCCCCTTTGGGAATGGCCTACAGACAACTTCAGTCAGTAATACAGCACTGTAGGGGGTTACCTGTTTGGTTGCTGGTACACCCTGCATGTAGATGTAATGGAAAATCAATACTTCTCTCTGGCTTGACTAGTACAAGATTCAGGGGAGGGGGGTTGATTCATTTCATTTTTATGTTAGTCTTGCTTTACAGTTCATTATCATTTAAAGTTTCAACAGGTAGTCTGAAGGAAATGTTTCTTTTAACGTTGAAAAGTATCATCAAAAGGCCATGTCCTGATATAATGCCTTACATACACTATCAAAAATTAAAACATCCTCAAAGCGTGGAATTGTCAAAAAATACTCTACCTGTACTAGCTCGGTGCTGTCTTGATGCAAGTTTACACGAAAGCTGTCCCTGGTCTCTGGACGAAGAAGCTCGTAATCGGTGCGAGCTGCTGCTGATTCAGCAAAATTCCTGGCTGCTGTTGATTTAGTTTTAGAATCAAATTTTGCCATCTCGTGAAGCAAGAGATGATGAAGCTCATTTCCAGATCTCTCAGCTGCAGATGTGCCATGGTATCCATCAAATACAGCCAAATAGCATTTGTTCCTATCCTCCCCAAAATAATCTTGGTACACTTTCACATCCTCCATATAACTTTTCCAGCGTCTGTTCTCACTGCTGCACATTCCAACAGCATACGCACAAGACGGACTGCAACTAAGGGCTGCGCCTCGTACATTAACATCTGTCTTTTCCACGATACGTTTCATTTC